TTATGGTATAAGATACATTTGGTGGTTTTGTGTGATACACTTCCATTATAAAATGGTTTATGGACGAAGCATTTTAGATCAAACAGTAGTTCAGTGCATGTAGTTGATTCTCGTTGTCATTTTTACATGTTAAGTTTGACATGCACTAAGTTGACGAATATTTTTGCAGCATGATTTGTAGTGTAATCAGGTAACTCAGATTCATTTAGATTATTCAAACTAATATTTTTACTTTTAATTTATTAATGTCGGTACTCAATGATGCTAATGACTATACTCACAACATTTCCACAATGAATTTACAAAATTTTAAGACAGTCATTACGATCGTATTAACTCATATTCAGTTAAGTAAATGGAAGGCTAGTGGAGCATTCGGACCACAGAACCCACCTCCTTTTGGGATTCCATCAAGAACTCTTATTAAAAACATTTGTATGCTCTTTTCCCATGTTTGAGTAATTTTAAATCTGCAAATATCGATTACGGACACACTTCGGGAACAAAAGCACTGCCCGATACTCATTTGAACTATCGTCCTCTCAGGTGCTAGGTCACGCACTTAACTAAAAGACAACAATGGCTTACAGAATTCGTTTTCATTGGCTGATCATTAGCGACACTTGTGACTAACAGAACGAGCGTATTTGTACTGTACAAACCGACCAGCTTCCTAGGTGACTTTAGGATGTATAGTCTTACTATGACATGCATATTAGCATCAAGGTAATTAGATGGTTAGTCTATAAGACTATGGCAGCTCACGTACAATTGGGGTTGTTCACATTTACTTTGGTTAAGCCCTTTTGCTAACTTATCTGGCGGATAGAGTCATTCGTACAATAACAACTATTGTACCTTTATTATCGTTGCGCTTGTATGAATATATATGTTTGAGCATTGCTTACTGCCTACGCATATATTCATTCTGCTACCCTTACCATCAGTCGCTCAATTGGTTTGATGATTCATTCAATTCACTATATATATATTAATCATGCTAGTTGACTCGCTCATTCAATTCGCAAGCTCACTCGCTTGCCTGCTAGCTTTTCAGCACTGCTCTTTCATGCCTGCTTAGCGTACATGTAATTTTGGTTATCCGTGTGTGATGCAATAATAAACTTAATCAACGATTCATATTCGCCTTCTGATTAATATACTGTCAGGCCGTTATCTAGTGACAGTTATCAGGACGAGCTGTATACGAAGTTCAACGATTATATTAGATATCAACCACTACAAGACTATGATTATGTCGCCGATCCTAACATGCCGATTCGATTCCAGAAGTCTGAACATTTTTATTGTTTTAAATATTTGTATTCTTATTATTCCTGGACAGACGACAATTTATGTACCTGTAGTTATGGACCGAGTTTTAAAGGGCGGTCGTCACAAACTCAGGGTCATGTATCTAATCGAGTTACGCGATGAATTCAACTTCTGGAAGGTTTATACTGATATTTTTTATTCACAACGTAACTTTTATGCTTAGTGAGTATTCGTGTTTAAGATGTCCACACGATCTTTATTTCCTACCAGATTACCAACACGTTCTGTGAAGTCAAACACTTGTGTAAAACACGATATTTATCACTTATAATTGTGCATCCCCTTTTTGTATCTGATAATTTTGTGCTGACAGTGCAGGGATTCTTCAGGTTTGAATGACTTTAGTTCCTTTTTTGAGGCAGATTCCTCTTTGGTTTTAACTATATGTGACTCAAGAGGAAGGCGAGTAGACGCCTCGTAGCCCGCAGATCATTGGAAAACCATACGTCACCAACATGGTGTTCAGTAACCTGCTCACTGACCTTCATCAGATAACCTTGTTTCATTTTCTTACAAGCTAGATTTCCCATAATGAGGGCACGTTCACTAAGTCATGCTCGATAATTTGTGAGAAGGTAAATGTTACTAAATAAGATAACAAGCTCGTGAGATATATGATATCTACGAAGTAGCCCTGAATATTGACTGGGCCGTGGCCGTCATTGATTGTAGGTCAAGTACTGAACGAGTCAGTAACTCTCTATTGGACTGGGGAAACAGAACCGAAATGTCATTGCTTGATAAACTGATCGAACCTATATTCCTATGGAGGTAAATTCCAAGAGGAAGCTGACGTAACAACATAGGCTGATTGGTTGAGAGTTGGCTGAAGACATCTGAGCGATATCAAACTACTATATTCCAAATATTCACTCACTCCCTCATATTGTGTAGATATTTGATTTGATTTGTATTGAGTGTTGGAAACGGTATGTGCAAAAAAACGTCGCTCTCCAAGTGCTCAGAATAAAGATCTATTCAAAAAATAGTCTGGTTTCCTCAAAAGAAGAGTATCTACCGACACGAAAATCCCAGGGTTATTCACTCTTTATATATATGTAACTTGGTGACAACTATGGAGCATTATCCACTTGCAAACATTTACGGATCCTACAAAATTCTAGACCGTTCACAAGATTTCTGATGATTCTGAAGCTCCACTTTACAAGTTCCTGTGCATTTGCTTTCCAAACATTTGTGCTACCTGACACGTCGTTTTGGATAACCATATGGAAAGACAGAATCAGAACTGTATGGCCACTCCTACCTAGGAGTGACATTTAATCGCTAACCCTGAGAAAACCAAACGGTTTTCACTGATATATTTGACTAAAAGATACGACTTTTAAAATGAATATCCCAGTTTACATAATAAATAGGATCGTTCATGTGAAGAACCATTTATTTACAGAAATTTTTACGATAATTTTTAACAGTATTGAGAAACCGAGAGTTCAAGCCCCTTATTTCGGTTAAAAATGATAAGAATTGTCACCCGCAATTGAAACCACATAAAATTCCTGAGCTTCGAAAGTGCTAAATAAACAAGAATGCTTATTACGACTGAGTCCTAGTATTTAATAAGTAGCAATGTATGAGAGCTTTTCTAAACGACATGTTTTCCGTATAAACTAACCAGATTTAATTCAATTTATTGATGAATTCTCCAGGACTTTTCGCTCTATTATGAATGGAATCATAAAAACTTTCAAGTAAAAGCACACTCAAGTTATACTTTAGCATGAAGTTTATGATATTAATCATTTAAAGATTCCCGTCATATTAAAAGACTAGTATTTGAACGAAGAATATTCTTTTCGATAATTTCTCTACAGGTTCTACAATTATATATCCCAAATAATAATCCGAAAAATGGCGATGGGTTTACCACTGGGCCCTATACTAGATCATATTTTTCTAGCCAAACTAAAAAATGGTCCACTAAAAAAGATCATTCAAAACTTCACATTTTACTGTAGATAGGTTCATCCTCTGTAAAAATAATACGTCGCCGCAAGAGGTTCTTAGGCGATTTAATGAAGTGCATCCAGCCATTCAGTTTACGTGTGAAGAGGAGAGTGAGGGCCGAATAGTCTTTTTGGACGTTCTCTTGACTAAGAGAAAGGATGGATCGTTAAAAAGGAACTTAAACAGAAAAAGTACATGCACTGGGCAGTATACGAATTTCCTGAGCTTTGTACTTCTACAATACAAACGAAACTTGATCAAAAACCTTAGTTACCGTATCCGGACTATATGTTCTGTTGATATAATCGAACAAGAGCTTAACACCTTGCATAATACTCTCAGGGGGAACGGCTACCCTAGAAAGTTTATAATTAAATATATGTTCACGAAGGCGAAAGTAGGCGAATTACAAACAGTGAAGAAAAAATTCTTGTTCATCCGTCCACAATTTAGTGAAATACTAACTCAGAGATTGCGTAGGACAATACAAAAGTCTTTTAACGCCGGAGAACTTCGATTAGTATTTTCTACGCGCACAATGGTAATTTTTTGCCAAAACTTGTCTGACTGAAAGTCTTTCAAACGACTGAGGCAGTAGCCATCCGGATCAAGAAACCGGAGCTATGCGTACAGGAGGAATATGTTCAACCACTCCTCCTCTCCTGGTCAACATCAAGGCCGATTAATCAGTCGTAATCTTAAGTATTGAATGACCTAATTTGACTATGACCTTTCGTAGTCAATTGTAATTGTCCCTGTTATCTTCGTTCATAAATCTTCGTATTATTATTATTCGTATAATTGGTTAAACATCGTTAATCGTTCATTCACTTCGCATTCACCCCTCCGTATTACGTCTTACTTATTTGATCGAATTTTAATTGCACCATTATTTCTCTCTCACCTTATTTGACCCATATTTATTCTGATCATGGATCTTAAATCTAACTTAACATATACGTAGATTCAAGTTAACATTCTATATGATTCATATTAACACTAACAATTTTATTGTATTTTGTTTATCACAATCCTAAATTCACATGCTTTAAACGATGTACTTTGCCCTTAACCTGGCCATTTTTCGGATTATTAATTTGGATATATGGTTGTAGAATCTGAAGAGAACTTATCGAAAAGAATATTCTTCGTTCAAATACTAGTTTATCATATTATAATTAATTAAAAATATCAACATTAACTGGCGTGGCAAATAATACGACTTGCTTGTTAATACCTGAGAGCGATATTTCAGTTCATAATCTAAAAATAAGCCAGCATGAATCTGTTTAACAATGGGATTATAACTATACTGTGTTTAGAAGGCTTGAAAGACAAGATTAAAGCTGATATAGCAATCTCACAGATGGAGCACAAACCCAGAAATAGATCAAGATTATTTGTCATAAAGTATGAGCTAAAACTTTTCGAAATGCGTTAAAAATGTTAAAATAGCGAAATCGGAGCATTAAGCTGAAAAATATCGATTGCATAATGTACACAATATCACGCTTCATGTGAGCAAAAACGACAGACATTACTTTCAACCATGCTACTGTACTTTTTCATAATTTATCTATATTTATATTTCGCCTGTTAAATATACTTAGTTTCTTACCTGGATGCATCAGTGATCTATTACGCCTATAAATTGCAGTCTGTTAAGCGAAAGCTTCTTTTATTCTGTTCTCTTTTATCTAAGCTACTCGGTCGCGCCAGATATATGCGTTGCGTTACTTGTGCTTTTTGCGTTTACTCAACAGAGACCTTTAGCTGTTGAAGTTCAGCCATAGAGTAATATAATATTCCGTATGCATTTGCTTAAAATTAATTGGTTTGAGTTCAATAGCTAGTTACTTGGTTCAAACGGTTTCGAGAAATTCCAGTAGTGCACAGAGTTGTCACAAAATTATGGGTTACTCAATTATAATTAAACATAAAAGTTTAAGTAAGGACTTGACGAGATGCTGCGGGTTAACGGGAAACTGTATGCATACAAAGTTTCTCTGCTTTCAAGTAGTATATTCATAACTATTGACAGGCTCCCACATTTTGGTGATTCCCTGGAAATTTCACTAGTTTTATCGCAAGTCGTTATGATCTCATGAGATCTTTTTTGTCTCCCTAAACTTGTTATTTTTAAAGCAAGATAGCTTAATGATTGTGATCGGGTCACCTCAAGTCTTCACTTAAGAAATAGAGTCTATTTTGTTCAGATAATCTACTGCCACTCGGAAATATCGGAATGTTGTGTTTTGGCGTGTTTCAAGTTCTTCTAAACTATTCCACTAGCTTACATTCTTTTAACTGGACGGGCTGCTTATATATTATACTCTAATTGTGGACAAAAAACACCCCAAATTCATATGCTCCTTGATATCTCGGTGATCGAGTTCCTCAATTATTGCCTAAGATGTTCGTGGATGCTTAACGGCTGTAAGTCATCACTCTCCAGTATTTTTCTCGCCCTGACTGACAGTAAACCTCAGATTACTTAACATGGGTACGAGGATGTTTCTTAATGAGCTTGAGGACATATAATAACATTTTTCAAATGTGGGTTCATTCTTGTAAGTTTTCTTGATCTTTATTGTGTATCATAGTACCCCCTTCGTCTTGTTCCCCCCATATATTCGCCTTCTAATGAGGCTAACAACAGCAGAGGACTTGCAAAGTTATCCGTTTATAAAATAATGACTGCTGACACCCAGACCATAACCTGGATAAATTTACTAAATATTTTTCAACCATACTTTATGTACACCTAACAAGAAGGTTATCTATTCGTATAAGACATTCACTCAAGAAACAGTACCACTGTCCTTTTAAAATAGTTTTTATCAAAATATTAAACTGGATTGCTTGTTATTCGGTAGCCTTAGTTTTGTTTTATCCCTTCTAGATTATTGTCCTGGCTAGGGAACGACAGTTGTTATATCTGTGCACCTTGCTCTTGTTTTCATATACTTAAGTGCCCCCAACCTGGACACAGGCATTTCAACTATTGGGAGTCGCATAATGTTAGAGGATGAGTTCGCTGAGCTGGACGTGAGTGTTCTGTCATAATTATGCTTTTTTTAGCTAAATGAAAACTCTGAAAACACTTTAAATGTACCGTTGAATTCTGAGTCTTATCTGCCGACAGGTTTCACACCTGAACGAAATGTCACACATGGCATATCGCCCATTGACACTGGGAAAGAAACTGTAGTATGTTCAGCCTTATTTTGATGAAATTCAGAACACTGTTTCCGATGTTGCATTTGTAAAAGTCACAAGCCCTGCAAAAGTTGGTGAGGGTATTTCGTCATACATAGTATATCGTGTTAATACAAAGGTTTGTGATCATAATGACATTATTTTCAAGTTTAATGGCAAGGAATTTTCAGTCCTCAGACGGTTTTCTGATTTCCTTGGGTTGCATGAAAGGTTAGTCGCGAAGTATCTTTCTGAAGGAGTTATTGTTCCCCCTGTTCCTTCTAAAGATATGCTAGGTAACGGTTTAGTTTTGTTTTATGCTCTTCAGCTACAACTAAAGTTAAAATGTCAAAGGACGTTTCTGCGGAAAATGAATTTGTTGAACGTCGCCGAATAGCTTTAGAACGGTAGGAATTTTGTTAATAATTTCACAGATTCCTATCACGAGTACTCTCACATCCAGTTTTACATATTGATGAAGATGTCTGTGAGTTCCTTCGGCATGAAGGAGAGCTACCACGTGCAACAAACACCCAACTATTGTCCGGTGCTGCAGCGATAAAAGTGATGAAAAATTTGGGTGATGCGATTGGAAAGTTTGCTTACAAAGTTGATGATCCCGAAGAGGTAAGCACTGATAAAACTGTTTGAGGGGTTATTTTATATCCAATAGTATGATAAATTGTATCGTTCATTAAATATTGATAATTTCTTTCCGTTTCTGGGAATCACTCGGGTAGAAAAAAGATCTATATAGAATATTTTGGAACGTAATACTAAATATTTCAAGGAATTTACTTTCCCTAGTGACGAGAAAATATAGTACAAGAGCTGATACTACCTGCTTGTACAAAATTTTTTGGATAAGCTAACACATGAACCTGCCCCTCTGCATCTAAAAGTAATTTGGCCAGGTTTCAGAGCCACATATCAGTGGTTAGTATATCCGAAAGTAATAAATTTCGAGAATATTTTAATTCTGAACGATTACCTAGTCCATAATGCTTATCGTACATTTCCAACAAAATCAGCTATCTTATCCTCGAATTGTGCAAAATACCAGGGGGAACTTCGGTAGATTGGGATGATTAAGTTCTGCGTTGTGTTAATGTTTCTGAGTTTACACATATGATGCGCCTGTTTTGGAAATCATTCATGTAACTCATTTACCAACTGTACAGTTTTGTGTATTTGACTTCGAGCTATACTGTTTGTATGAGGGATATCGATAGTAAATCGTTGCTCAAACTGCGATAAGCGGGATGGTCAGGAATTATGACCTGCTGTTTGAAAGTCAAGTGCCTTAAGTACTTGGTTACTGCTTCATGCAAATAATATACAGTCAATCTAGATAGATCGTTGCTGATTTTTCAATCACTTGCCACTAAATTTTGTCAGACTAGAACAGAAAACACTTAGTCTTCTATACTATGAAGTAATTCATATCAGATTATGCATTTCATGAAGTCAAAACGATGTGCAAAATGGAGCGCTGTAGTGCGCTGGTTCAGGTTGGTTTGCTTCACAATATATAAAAAGAAATAACGATAGGAAAAAGAGGCAAGCAACATTGTACAAATAGATGAAAGATGATGTGTCCGAAAATTATGAAAGGGTAGAGAAAAAATGGGTCGGGATTTCTGTAACCGATTTCAAACCCTATCACTTAAGTTCTCTGGATACTGAATTTCATCCATGAATTAGTCGTTGTGCATGATAGTCACTGTTTCGAGAAGGTTTTGTTGAAACCTGTTATAATTCTTCGAAAGGTTAGTTCAGTGGCTACTTAAACAACTGTATTGCTTACAGTATGGACTTGCATTTAACCGGTTAGTTCTAGCCTTCCAGGTTAACAAAATAAAGCATCCAAAACAATCACGTCGCATTTGCCTCTTATTAGATTTTATCATGGTTCATACTATATGGTTTTCAGAATACTGCTGAGGAGGTAAGTTAGTCCCTAACGTCCATTGGCCGCCATCGTTTTAACACTACAATTCATTGAATGTTCATTTTAAAATACAATTTTGAAATATATATCATTTGCACTTCTTGATGAGATGCTTTGTGTTGTGATTTCCATTTCATTCTTTTTCTGATTCATATTAGTAGTTCAGTATTTTTTTCACTAATAATCTTATTAAGACTTAAACAGATGTTCAGAAGCTTTAAATTTGCCTGATATTATTTGAAAAATGTAGTACAGTCTGTGGTTTTCATTTAGACTCAATAACTGGTATACGGTACATCGGCAATTTAATTCTATGTCAACCACTTTGGCGTTTTTTCATTTTCCTTTAAAAACGGTTTAGCTGGTTGTTGAGCTTCAAACAGGGCTGAGACCACGATATTTGAGTTTTGGAACGATTAACTAGTAATTTTAAGTGATTTGTCATGATAATCTCTACAAGTCCTATAATTATTAACCTCATTAGTGGCTACATTTTTAGAACGTATTTGTCACTGCAGTAACTGGATCCACCATGGATACAAAGGTTGTAAGTGGAAAAAACGAACTTAAGTTTTAAAAATTTTTCAAATAAAAATTGTAGAACGTTTGGCTTGTTTCATACATAAGTTGTAGATATTGTAAGACTGCGTTTGATTTCAGCTACGTTTATGCGACTGACTAAATGTAATATAAATACCGGGTTACTAGTCAACAAGCTAAGAAACCAAAGCCAGTAGAGGCATCCATTGTATAGTGGTAATCATATACCTTGTAAAAAATGTGCTGAATTATTAGCAGCGTACGATTTTTACCTTTCAACGTGAAGTATATGGCTTACGATATTAAATGCTAGTTTGAGATCCGTAAGATAATAAGACATGGTAGAGCAGTATGTGAACTCTGCAGTTTGCTTATTTACACCTAATAATCACGTTTTTATTTGTGAACCTAAGTTTTTGAGTAGTTTCAACTTCAATAATACACACTGGCCTTAGTTTCTTAGTTATGACACTGGAAATAAAAGTCTCACGAGTCATATTCATTGCCCGAATAAAAACTTTCAATTCATGACCAGTTTCGTTAGTGTTTTTGGTCGTATAATAAGTATATTTTGCGTGTTGTCAACTTTCTGTCGTTTCATTGTTTTTGGTATTATCAGTTTCAAACTAAAAAACATGATTAATCGATTGATGGTTTATTGTTACAGTGATAACTTGTAACCAAGAAAATAATATTTAGGTATCGTAAGGTGCACGATAGTACAATGGAACTGATATTAACATATGTAGAGTTTCACTAGACCTTTATGTGGTTATTTCCAAAACATACACTGGGAACGAGGAAGGTTATGGCCAATCACTGAAGAATTTTAAAATTAGGTAAATTGCTTTTAAGCGATTATAATGTTTAGCGGTTTCCATCCTTATATGAGTTTGGAATCGAAACTCTCGGTCTATCAAAGTATGATTTAATTAGTTATGAGGCCTGTAACTTAAGCACTAAAATTTAGTAATGTTTTATGACTGAGATCAGATAAATAAGTTTTATATTCAATGCTTAATCATTTTTTCACCTATAGCTTGTCGACCATATCTAGTGTCTTGATTGTATTTACATATAAATCCATTGTGTTGCATGTATGTGCTTGAAAAATCAAATGCTTTACTGTTGTTTTGATAAATTTTTAATCAGTGTATGGTTATAAATTATTTCGCTGTGCAAATCAATTTCGATCTGTTTTCCTAATGTGTGATTATGTTTCACGGTCTCCCAGTATAGTCCTTATTTTTTTATTCGGTGCAATGTTAGTCGAATGATGTATTATTGATCCAAAAAATAATTGCTTCTTTCGTCTAAACTGTTTCTCAACTACATAGTTTCATAAGTTATGATAGTAAATGCATAAGAGTGAATTCTATTGATAAAATGTTTTTAACTTAAAAGGCCATAATACTATAGAACTGCCTTTTACTAACATCTTATATGTAAATGATTGGTCTTAGGGAAATAGTGAATGAATTAATTCTCAAAAAGTATAGATTTTGTATACGTGATTATCTGCGCCTGGTGTAACGAGTATGAATTATTCAAAAACATACACGTACTATACATTCGTATTTTCTAGGGTTAATGTTATATTCCGTGCTTAAAATAATGATTACTTTAAAAATCCCAATAAATAATGCCAGAGACCTTAGGTAAAACAGTTTAACATGTAGCTAGTGCACTAATGGTAGGTTTTAAATGTATTGTTTGGTCTTGTATACTCTGTATTTTTTACTGATATGACGAATGATTCAAAGCTATTTAAAATCTCTTGGGACCGAGAAAAGGACAGTGGCTGGGTAAATTTGAAGTGTTGATTCAATACGAAAAAAAGTTTGGGAGTTTAATTCGACTAATTAGGATGCCGGGTTTTTTCTAGCTACAAACTAAATCGAGACCAAAGATAAAATCTACTTTATGGATTGCGTGTATTTAAATTGTCCTGCTGTTTTTAACTGGAATAATTAAATCTGTCTAACTAATCGTGTTACGATGTTTCTGTATCGTTGTGAGCCACTGAGTACTGTAGTGTCTTAATAAAGAAGAGATGCGCTTGACAAGCACGTGTAAAGTTAGCTTGTTCTAATTTTAAAGGTGGCATAATCCACGGTTATTTTTGGTAACAAGTATTCGCTAAAGCATAAAACTGAGCCCTATAGTACTGTATTTAAGTGTTAAATCTACAGCATTAAAATTACGTAAGTTATTGATTCACACCGAAAATATTTTTTATAATAGGTTGTGTAAATAGAAGGATCCAGTAGATATTGTTAATTTCAGCTGCAGCTTCTCAATTCGTAGTTGTTTTCAAGTCGTGACTTACTATTACCCCTAAGTCGTTATGTTCCTGCACGCATGGAAGATATGTACCGTCGTTAGTATGCTGGTAACTGCTACCGTGTCCGATGTGCATGAGAACACTTTCTAGAACTAATTTCTAAGCCCCAACATTGCGACCATCTAACTAATTCGTTTAGTTCAGTTTGGAAAACAAATGATCAGCCGTACTCCTTACTATCCTCCAGATTTTTACATCATCTGCAAACAACAATATCGACGACCTAAGCAATAGCGGTAATTAATTGACTTAGAGAAGAGAAAGTAGGGGACCTAAGATGGTACCTTGGGGTATACCACTTTTGACCAGCTTCCATTCAAATAGTGTCCCATTAACCATCAACCTCTATCTTCGGCCACATAAAAAGTTTCTTATTCGTTCCTGTACACCACCTGTTATTCCAAAGCTCGATAGCCTCTGCTTTAGACCTAGGTGAAAAACCTTGTCAAATGCTTTGTTAAAGTCTATGAATATCGTATCGACAAACAGGTCATTATCTAAGGTCGCTGTTCAATCCTCTCTCGCAATAAGTTGGTCAAGCATGAATGCTTGTCTCGAAACTCGTGTTGCTCGGGGTTAAGAGATTGTATGATTCTATGTGAAGAAGTTCTAGAGCTGTATCTTCTGGTTTCCGCCATTTAAAGTATTACAGCTAAAAATGGGATATTTCCAACATACAGTGATATAGTGGATCAACCAAACATCGACCAAATGGCAAGCGCATACTATTAGTCAACATTTGTTTTTTTTCAAGAAAGAGACACTCGGTTGGTTGAACATGCAAATTAAATTTCTAAGAAGCAAAAATATATATGAGTGAATAAGCGTACAGATATCTCTCAATTCGGTTAGCTAATGAAAGCTTCCTTCTCACTCGAGTGACCGGTTGGGCTCGTGCACAAAAAGCTTGAATATTACCATACTGGACACCGCACAGCACAACGGAAGCACAGGCTTGAACTACCAACTATCAACATAGATGTAACACTACCTACATCATCTGCATTCCTCTTTTGTGATATTTACAGTTCAGCCCAGTAGTAAATGCTTCTTTTTTGCATTATATTATATGTCCATTTAATTATATTTCTCTTTACTCTTCTAGTTCTTCTATCAGAAAGCAGATGAATTAGATAGTTGGGAAAAGCAACTTAAACGTCTTCACTCCTCGCTTCTTAATTTAGTATCAGGAGACAATGGTAGGCATTTGATTTATTTGAGTTTTTCTTTTTATAATCCTAATGATTGTGATTTAATATCTATAAAACATGTAATATGCAAATGACATTACGTGTATACTGAATAGTCAGTGAATTTTCCGACTGTCGTATACTGATATGAGATTGTTTCAAACATGAGTCTTAGTTTATTGCTTTTGTTGGTTAGATGTGTTGTTCTTTTGCTTACGGATGGTTGTTGTTTGTTTTTTCCAAGGAATTAAACATTTTGATGTGACAGTTTGAATAATGTTGATCAATATCGGTAAGTTGATACAAAAGGTGGATTGAGAAAGGATATTAAATCCTCACAGTTTAATTTTAGCTAATTTTATGTATGGTAGTTCAGAGGTATTAACTGAACTACTACTGAGGTATGTACTACGATATGTTAGTTAGAAGTAGCACCTTTAGACTTGCGAGAAACCAGAGGAATTATTCAGTGATAACCGTCTGGTTCTCATCTTCATTTGCTTAACTCCAGAAGTCATAAGCTCCATAGGGCATGATCTAGACTAAAGAATAGTAAATATGGAAGGGACCCACGTATTTTAAACTTAGTACAGATAATGTAAACGGATAAATGGGAATATATGTTATTTACGTACAACTGGTCAGCAAAGTGGTTACGTACCAGAATGTCTTAAATTATTATCCAAACAAAATAGACTTCTTGGATAGAGAGACAAATGTTAGCAAACTACTGTTTGTTGTGAAAAAAATTGAATGAAGACTCAATAAAACTCTTTATACATGTGGCATCTGTTAAATAGATGGCACTTCATAACTAGCTTCTTTTAGCATAAAGTTTAAAGATAGAGTTGCGTAGTTGAATGTGTTGACTACTTTATCTTTGGATATTGCCAACTAGCGGACTATAAAATTCCACTTGACATCTTACAGTCTGCCATTTCAGACACCAACGTAATATTGTAGTGCCTGGATAAAATCTTAATAGTTTGTTGATGAGGATGCTTTGACCAAACTTTTTAACTAAGGACCTTGTTATTTGAAGCAACTTTCGTCATCCTGTCAGATTTATCGCTAAAACATTAATCAAATGTATTGAATCCACTGAATGGGAAACACCAAGATTTGGCGTGGTGATTTAGAAAAGTATTGTTGATAAATCAATAAGTTTTCTCAGCCTTGGAGACTAACTTGGCTTTTCCATGTGTTAAACACACCAAACCTTGGTCTTCTCTCACTTGTAATTACGACCACAGTAGAAGATCAAAACATATCGCCAATTTTAATTTACTGAAAGAGTGAACTGTAAAAGAATTTGGCATAGATTTTTACTGGCTCCACGTATTCAGTTTAGTGTTGTTGAGTTAAACCATTATTTGTTTCGTGCATTTAAATTTGCTGTTACCGGAATAATAAAATGGATAGATATATGGTAGTCAAACTCAAACCATATGTTATTTGGTCTCTATTGTCACCTGCGTTGAATTGCTATTGTTTGTAACTGTTATGTCCTGATAAGCATAATTAATGGTAACTTTTGGGATCCATTTATGGGCCAATACTATGCGTATACTTTTATCGTATAATTGTTAAATGACTAATCTATCCATATTCATATCCCTCTTATTTGAGCCTTATTTTGACCTCTGAACTATTATTATACTGTTTACTGTTCTTGAATTATGCCCTGTCCATTAATTACTACTTCCCACATTCACAGCCACATTTGGCCAAATCTTGCGTAAATGTTGTTTCCTATTTTATTGGTACGATGTGGTCTGTTTGGTTGGTATATAAACCCCGTATTTTTGAAATAAATGGCTCATATTTCAGAGGCTGAGATTGGTGTTCTGGACTTAACTGGCTGGGCTAGGCTGGAAGCAGGACCGGTATGTACTCTAGACTGCTCGTACGTGTTTTACGCGTCATTGGTCCGATCGATAAGTCACTACTGTCTAATTGACGGTATCATTACGTATACATTAACAGGGCACACAAGCCACAAGTTATAATAGTAAAAAACAAACAAACATTGATATTAAAAAATACGATACTTTTAGAAATGCAACTCAGTTCTCAAAGCACATATCTTTGCGTCATTGAGTCATAAATCCAAACACCTCTCGAACTACTGCAATCTGATTAACCACCAAGTATCAGTGCTCACCATATGTTAACTGCATCTCGAAGCGAAACACACGGAATTATTTCTCAGTTGCATCACCATAACTTTAAATTGCTCTCAGTTAAGAAACAGTTATTTCAACTTACTTCAGACCTAGCAAATGCCGAAGCTGGCTTGGCTCGTTCAGTTCTTCTCCTGGCTAATGTAGAAGAAAATACTGGTCTAGCTCAAGCACTTCATCATCTGGCAGAAACAGAAGGACATGTCGCTGATTTACACGCTTTACAAGCAGAAGCGCATACGTGCCATTTAGTGGAGTATTCTCGAGAATTACTAGGCATGGTTCAGGCTTGCAAGGTAAGTTTTCCTGATAGTTTTAAATAAATTGAGCGTTGGGTGGAAAGTTAAAAATAAATTTTTTTGTGATGTCCCAATGAGTAAGAATTTGTATTTCTAACGTCTCCTGATTCAAAGTAAGTAACTTCTTCAGAGCAAATCGATTTGTCAGTATAGGGTTATGGAGATTGTTGAGTTTTGATTGAGATCGCGAATCGATCGATGTCAGGCCACAAATGAAAATCTGTAAGCACTGGACGGCTGTTTCGTCCTATTATTTATTTATTATTATGACGAAACGTCAAAAGTACAAATTTCTACTCATTTGGAGGTCACAAAAACTGTAATAGTTATTGTTTCTCTAAACTTACTTAGAAAGTAGATGTTGAGTTAACGATTGATTTAAACGGTGATGCAGTCATGCTGTTTAATCGTAAACCATGTGTTAGCGGGACATAGACTGGATTAAAGCATGCTCTATGCACGATTGCTTTGGTGCACGCTGATTGGCTAATTCTTATCCGATCAGCACTAGTCGATAGTTGGAGAATACTCTAGAATCTTCTCGCGTAAAAACTATAAATATACTAACGTTTTCCCTATTGTGCTTCTTACTTCCATCTAACCTTGTTATTTGGAATATAATCTCTTTCCTGTTCAACCGTGTTTTGATTTGGGGACTTGTCGAGTGAATCGGTGCCCGAGAATACTAAGCAATAGGAATAGCTGGGTCATAATCGTAAGAAAGAGATTATAACACCATGTTTTTATGAAGTTCTTCCAAAACATTTATCAAAACTGTTGCCTTAAAATTTATCTTCCACGGTGTACTCAAAACGAACTGTTTCTGGAAAAGTTAGGGTTTTGTTAAACTATACAGACAAAGTGTTTTTCAGTCCCGCTTTTGTTTACAAAAGGTTTGCACTCTCTAGTTTATATGTATCAGACTGTGGTAGAGCTTTGCTACTATCAATACAACCAGGTATTTATTTTTCGTTTATTGCTTTAAATTATTTCGTTATTTATCAAGTCTAAGTTGTCTTCTAAGTCTTTGATCAGGACATCTGAAGTGTAGTGTAGCACATAAACTAAAGTATACCCTAAAATTACCATCTTTTCACTCTTTTTATGGGACAACTCATAGTCTACTACCGAATGTTTGAATTTCAAGCAGAATGTGTTGAGATAGATATTTAGAATTAAATTGGGCTGTAATATTTAAAGAATCATGGGATTAGTAAACGTTGCACTATTTTGCAATTACGACAAATTTAAGAATATGAGACCCCTTATTGATTAATCACATGGTAGCCATAAATGAAAAATAATCCTCTAATCAATATTCAAATAGATAGTTTTAATTTAACTGTTTGTCTTGTTATTTCTAAATGAAAAATCTTATTAATATTACTTCATTATTTTGAAAAAAATTTCATAATACCAAGTTAAATGTATATAATTTAGGATGTTTTAAGTGAACGTGTACGAATATATCGTACATGGAAAACCGCTGAAGCTAATCTTCGTTCTAAGCGTGAACAGAAAATTCGAATGGAAATGGCACCTAGAAATGATAATAAGAAGATGGCCACGATAACAATGGAGTTGGAAGATGTAAGATAATTTATTCCTTTTTTATACTGATTATTTTCATTTAATACTAACAAAAGCAAATATGCTCCCATCAGTTTGAATTTATTTTTGGATCAACTTGTCTCTGATCTAATGATTGATGATGAATTTTATTAATATGCTACCATAATAATTATTATTATGTTGGGGATGCCAGATCCCCAGCAATTTCTTGGCAAACGTCTTATTTTTGTAATTTTATTTCGGGAATTTGAATTTCTCGTCTTCGCACTAAAAGTATCCATTTTTATCTCCAGATTGTATTTCCAACTTGACAGGACTTTAAATTTGATTGGTTCGTCTCTTTTAATACGCTATTTTGTGACGTTTCCTAAGGACCTTTTTACGCTGTACATATACGCTTGAGTTGTGTGCTTGTCTGTTCCTGCTTCTGGATGCTTGCGGAATACACTTTTCCCCTGGCTGATACCGGTCTTCTCCCTATAGTTATCAGGGCTGGGACACATTGGAGTAGTTTAGCTTGTCTTGTCGTTGTGTTACTAATCCTTCGTTCCGTTCACAGATTTCAGGTGGTCTCGTAATCTCTTCAAACATAGCAGTTTATTTTTTGTTTCAAAAGTTATGTACATATGTATCATATCGGTTAACAAAACGACATGTTTTTATTTCTTATTATTCCCATTTATTAGATAATTTACGTCAATAACTGGGTTTTTTTGTGAACAGCCTTCACTTGATTGCAGTTCACATGAATTTAGACGACTGATTTCACGTCACACACGACTGACTATTTGGACGAGAATACAAGAGTAAGCGGGAAAGTATACTGGACTATCTAATAAAATACACAAACACACCCATATATATATATATATATACCAGTCTATCTATAGGGAATTGACCCATTTTGACTCCAATGAAATCTACTTGATTTTTATGTCACATCTGAATGCTATCGATTGACTTTTTCATTAGGCTACTTCTGATTGGCACTCCACATTAGATGACTGTATTATTAATTAATTACTGCGTATATTAATAACTTATTTTATAGTATATTCAACTTATAGAACATAAACATCAAATATTACTCAAACAACATGTTTTCACTGATTTATCCAAAGAGGATTAAAATGATCTAAACCTACCTAATCATCATAAGGATTTGAAATTTTAATGAAACTTTTCGTTGTATTCCATTTGAAATAAGAATTCATTAAAAATTGTCGATAAGTACTGGTGGATACTCCGTTTTTGTTTTCCCCCTAGGTTACACTTGATCTTAAAGTTACTGTTACAAATTAGTCGCTATTTAAAAACTAATATTTAAAGCTATATGCTGGATGGGAATCATATTTCTGGAAATAGTAATTAAAAGTTAGCATGTGATACTCTATAGGATATTCAAAATTTCACCATCAGCTTTATTGATCTATGTACTTTCACAGCAAATTATCAACACAACTGGTTAACTCGTACAATTTTACTAATCAAGTATTCGATCAGTCATACGTAACATAGAACCTGGCATATACATGCATCGATCTAAGTTGTCACACTGAATTAACAAAGTGAGGTAAGTAAATGTCAGAGCAGTTGAATTATTAAGTGTCAGTGGTAGTGGGAGGCATGAGAATCGACAGTGTGATTCTGGACGAAGGAACGACTTCATAAGATAAAAAATTAAGATAATTTTGATACTCAAGATCTAAAAGGAGACGAAGAGTGAATACACTAGCACTAGTACTATCAACTCTAAGCCATATTATTCACCGTCTCAAGTACTCGTTAAAATAACCACTCGGTGACCTCAAAAGGTAGTCTGCATCTACCTACAATGGCTTAGTCCTACAGTCAATGACTTCATGAACCGATGTCACGAGTATTAATTGTCCTCATTTCTCTGATGCTAATCAACATCCTTGGTGCATTTTTAGGATATAGTCTCTAAACTATTTGCTTTACATATAGTGCTCTTTCTTCACTTACTCTCCAAACAATTATCCCGCCTTGTGAATTTTCTTCGAGTATTTTTTATTGTTAGATGATTGAGAATATTTTGCACCATTTATTTATGCACGATTGTTTTTATTATATAAATCAAGGTTTTTGTTATGATTACTAGTTCTTATTTTTTGTATATTTCATTTTGTACATTACACATAGTTACATAGTTGTATTCTTTTTTCTTCATTTCTTTTAAAGCTTGAAAATCGTGTAGATCAAGCTCAGCATAAGTTTAATAATATATCTATAAATATTAAAAGAGAATTTCAAAATTTCGACTTGAATCGTTTTGCTTATTTCAAACAAGCCACTACAGAATATTTAGAATTGTTATTGCAAATTCAATTAAAAGTAAGTGAATATTGTTTCCTATGGTTAAAACACAGACACAAGTTACTATTTTCATAACCACTTTGTTTTCAATGTTAATGTTTCAGTTAATTTGTTATGATGGACATTATTTTCAAACTATAATTAGTTAACAGTTAATCAAATACTTATTACCATTTTCATTGAGAAAATTGAACTGATAGCAACTGAAAAACAATTAAAAGTTATTTTCATGGTTGTTCGACTAAGATCACTTATTCTATGATATAAACTATACCAGCAATAACCATATTCTCGCTAGTGACTAATTGTAAAGGATAATTCACGGAGTTCCACTGAGAAGCTATGAATAGTGAAGGTAAAACATGTCGAGTGTGAGGCGAATTCCTATTACTGTCATCCAAACACGGTTGCGCAATATTGTGAATTAACCGAAGCTAGATATGTAAACTAGTGGTCAGCGGTCTAAAGGTTAGGTATTCGAACGGAATTCAGAACTTTCTCGGTTTTTTCCGTGATGCAGTCGCAGATACACACTGATGAGAAGTCCTATACTAGGACAAAACAACTGTCCAGTGCTTCCTTGTTTTTATTGTTTAATTAGCTAAAATCAGTCCGTAATGTAAACTATGAAAAGAAAACAGATTTTGATAACAATTATTTCTTGTCCACCTCCAATTAAACATTGAATAATTAAATATAACATTATCTTTAAAAATCACACATATATTTATATTTGAAATAAACTTAACTTCTTTTTCATCATCTTTTGTATACATTGGACAATAGGTGTTAGAGAACTGGGAGAAATATTTGTCTTATACAAACGGTATCAATTGATGTATGCGCATATAGGCTCTGTTAACAATTTTTTTATTTCTAGAAAAGAAATATCCTTGGTTTTGGAATTATTTTCCCTCTCTTTATTACACAATCAATATTCCACACTTATTTATTGTTCCATTGAAATTTTAAGTTAAACATATATGTTAATTTCTCATCCTTTGTGTTCAAGTAACACGCACACACACACACACACAGATAATGCATGTGTATACACTTGTATACTGACTGTATTTCGGGTAATTAATTCTAAATAATCGCTTGGATATGGTGGTTGTGATAAGTCTTTATTTTTTTCTTCTGTTAATCATTTTGTAATTTATGTAACTCTTAGATTGATTTCATATCTCTGCCACTTTATGCTGATTTCATGCATATATTTAATAATAATATGGTGTTTTGATTTAAAAAGCAATGGAATTTTTATATATTTCACCCTCATGGGATAACAAATATTAACAGACGTAGTAGGAGTACAGAGTATTAAACAATTTAATGACAATTTTTTAACAGGAGAGTTTTTGCAAACAAGTACTTTACTGTGTTTCCTTCTCCCGTTGGAACTTCATGTTAATTATAAAATTCATAAAATCACCTTAGATGGGAACATTTTTTTCTTCACTATTGTTGATATCTGCGCAGCCTTATATAATAGGATTGTATACATGAGTTTCTTTTTCCTTTTGCCCTATATGTGCTGTCTATAAACAGACAACCAATGACACAGGATAAACATCAGTGTGGAAGGACATTATCCTTCATTCTGTTCCAACTAGCATGAACAGTCTAAATAATAAGGCGCATTCTGTGTTTAAGAAAATTTAAATAGTTTACCTGTTTGCAGACTAGTTTACCTTTCTAGTATACGTAACTTTAGACGTTCTGTATACCTTAGGAAACATAATGGGTGATTATGATCTAAATACATAATTTCTTTTCAATTTCTTAGCTGAAAAGTTGTGTGTAGTGTTATGTTCGTTCATTTAAAATATGACAGTATAATTAGTCTGCTTTACATTATGATTAAATCGCGACAAGATCTTGTTGATAACAATATCCCTTTATATAACAGTTTCAACTAAAAGAACCCATCTCACATAGCTTGTACATGGTAGTTCTCATAATATGTGACATACACCAGTTCTTTCTCAGTTACCAGTTAGTTACAAAGTGTTTTGATAAAACCAGCGGTAATTTGAACATGGACACACCACTATCTGTGTCGAATCCGAAGATTACATCTACAACTTCGATTATTACAGATTAATTATACGCCATGCCGTAACACTCTGATTATTAATAGATTTGTCATTTTTTGATTTTTAGTTATTTAAGTAATTTGAACTGAAAGTTGACCAATAGTTCATGTTCTTGTGGATGGCGAATTCTGTGTAGAAAATAAAACATATCACTATCCTTAATGCAAAAGGTGTATATAGTTCGATATATATACAAGCATGTGCTTAGTAAATGATTTACATCGATTTTACCTGTTGAATGAATAATCCTCTGTAAAACCTAGACAATATTTGATGAGTCCAACGAGGAGATAAGTGTCTGAACCTGAATTTTGCACAGAAGCACCTATCTCGTACTTTTGGTCATCTTCCGTGGTAATCGATTCATATCCAGTAATCTAAGGATGCAATTTATGTTCGTTTCTCTATGTATGTTTCAATGCATTATTATCAACTAATTTGCTAGGTATAGATCTGTGAACTTGGACTCGAACCATATCCTAAGAATGAAGGCTAGTAGTACTACCTGGTTTCCCAGACCGAATTAAGCGGAGCGGGGTTCAACCCTGCCACTTGGTGGTTGTAATTTGAAGACCTCAACCACTAATCAATCGCTCGATTGTACAACACATAAAGACATATACTGTTTAGTGAATCAGTAATTTAACCATTCTGCTAATAATTTTTAGTAAAACTGACTAACTGCTTGTAACTTAACTGTTTATACTATTATAGAATATCAAAGACCGTTCCTGACTGTAGTCTGTTTATCTACAGTAATTCAAAGAGCTTTTATGTGTAATTAGTCACAAAGAAGCTAACTAATAAATGTTTTATTATCATTAAGATGAATGATTGTACAACTTTTATGATTAACATAAATGATTCATCGGGTTAGTCTGTCATACGGTTTAAATCGATTTGAATGTTAAAGTAAATAGTTGATTTGAAAGTTACCTGTTCAATATGTGTATGTACACAACATAACACAATATAGAACCAGTTTGCGCCATAAGAATTAATATAAATACATTTTAATGTAGATAAATCACTGCTTAAACAATTCGAAGCATGTTTAACCTGTTCTAGTGGTGAAAGTTTAGAAAATGAAAGTTTTTCTAGGTACATTATGAATCATAACAGGTCAATTGCTGCTCGAACACCTCAGCGGTGATATCTTAAACTGTAAGCTTGTGTTACTCGGGTCCCAATCTCATGGAGAACATCAGCTCTCACGATCTCAGTTATTCCTTGTTGAGGAATGTCAACTAAGACGAAATCAAGGTCCAGTGTTTCTTGCCAATTACAAACAAAAATTCCACATAGGACTACAATACTTTTCACTCTTAGTATAATCACGAAGTGTGTTTATATTAATACTCAAATATTCTAGATTAAAACATCAGTTGACATTAAGGTAACTATGCAGTGTGAAAAACCAAAGTTTATACTGATTTATGCCAACGTGAAGTTGCCATCAATTGCTAACCACTAAGCAATATTCAAAACATTTGTAATTCTATCGTCTGAAAAGCATAAATCGTTTATAATGGTGATAATCGAACACGTTATCATTAAGTTGTGCATGTTTGTTACTTGTACTGTTACAAGATCTGAAGTTTTACACTTATCGTCACCTGGATTTCTATTCAAAAGTTATCAAGACAACAGTCAGTTGTCTAGGTACAGTTGGCTGTCAGATAGTTAAGAGTAAATGAATAATTCATACCACAAATTAAAAAATTAAGGCTGTGTATCTTCTTGTATACTGCAGTCACTCGTCAAGAGTGGTTCGTTAACTTGCTCAGACCAAGTTCAAGTATTATTAGTACCATAGATAAGTAATCTTACTTTTCAGTACTGTTTACACCAGTAAACTCTACATTCCTTGCAAATCTTTAACAGTTGCATGAGTAAACCACTGAGAGAAGGAATAAATCAATCAAGTATTGTAATCTTACATAGCTTGTCCTTGAATCTACTAAATGAAGAGGCATTAGTGACTAAGGATTGTTTATATGAATATTAGTGTTGTCATATATACATCTGTTCATGAAATCAAAAACTGATTAGGAATAAAATTACTTTGAAAATTTGTCTGTATGGTTAAATAAGCACTTCAACATCAATGTTATTCACACAGATAGTACCAACATTCAATTTGGACAATTTTGAAGAAGGTTGGTGATAGATACTGGTTTGTATCTACCATCATATGTGGGGTCATCAAAAGCTTTTATTATTCTATTGTTAGTGATTTGGAAAGCAAGTAGTAATTGCTTGCTGTAAAACTATTTTTCTTCACCCAAATAAGTTTTTCATAGATTAAGGTTTAAAAAAAACTCAAAGCTATTCAGCTAATTTGAAGTGCTTGAATAACATTTGAATTACGACGAAAAGAGTATACATTAACAACTGGCTTACGCCATCTCAGCATTAATCTTCACTAAAACACCATGATCTAATTTCCAAGATGTAAAACAGAAATCCGGAAACCGATAGGCTCGGAGCACTGTCCGAACGATTCTTCAACAGCTACATCAGTTCTCAGCATTTTCATATCATTTAACCATATAAAAGTTTAGTACATTATGTTTCGTTAAAATGTAGGTTTGATGAGATAAACTACTTTTGAGCTTGACTTCGAAATAGGGAAATGGTTAGCTTCTATTCTTTCAGTTCATCCAGTAAACCTATAGTTAAATTCTGGTGATGTTGGCTTAGTCGTGTAGTTCCGTTTGTGATCTTTTTCTCAAAACGACCACATGTGGTTTTTATTTGAGATCATATAATGAGTGAGTGATGAACTGCCTGCATCAGATGTATCACCTATGATTGATGGCCACTCTACTCATCTCCTTCAGTTTACAATATTAGAAATTCCACTTACACAACAATTAATTCCCTGTATATCAGTGAGTTAAGTAGTTTCACTTGTAAAGGTTTGAACCTTTCCATTTCTGGTGTTTTGGGCTGCAATCGATCAGTCTCCTTTGGTGTATGTATATCTCATGTGGACTGCCTAGACAGTGTCTTTGTCACACGCATCTTTAAGCTAAGCTTTTGTAGCAGCTAATAGATGACACGCCCGTTGTCCCAATTGGTACTCGTCAGCTAGATATACATGCACTTCAGTGTTGATATTCCCACCAGGACCTGCTGCTTTCTGCATCACATGCCAACGTATCATCCTGTAGTGTCGGTCACTATGTTAAACCCATATAACTTATTCTAGCTTTTGGACAGGCAAGTTTATTCACCATTCTTCTTGAGTCACGTTTTGACCTTGTTAATTATTTACTTATCAATCATGACTGTTTTTATACGAGCGTATGTGTGTGCACTTCTTATCCTATTCATCACATGTCTGTAACTTCTTTTTGTGTGACTATGAATATTGATTCACGCTTAATTAAATTGAATTGGCTGACATGTCTTCACTGCGCGCCGTCTCGTTTCGTTCTCTCTTCTTCGCTCCCTTCGTTACGTTTTTCTGATCATCTTTTCCGATCAACGATTGTACAAAATATGAGCATTCGAAATCTATTCTTGTATTTGGCTTATTGAATTCCATTATTCACTAACGCGAATTGAGTCGATAATTACATACGAGGATAGGCGATATGTATATCTCAATAACAATTAAACATACAATCTAATTGGGGTCAGATTCAGGGCCACTAAAATCCACTGGGGTAATGAGTTTGGTCAGCCACTGGTAGTGCACAAGGGACCAACTTGAATTTTATCACTAAGGATTTGGTTGTGAAAGGTAATTAGTTCAAATTCTGATGAGGATATCAACACTGCGGGCATATCCGGCAAACGAATAATAAATAGGACGAAATGTGCGTCCTAGAATTCTTTGCTAGACGCTGTCAAAACTTTGCTTAAAAGTGAGTAATATGGCTTGGTAAATAGACAAAAAGTCAAATAAATTGAGTGAAAGGAAATATTTGAGTCTTTTATTTACGTATATCCTGTTAATTGGAAGAAAAACGATATTATTATTTCAATCGGCAAAACATATGCTAATGCAAAAGTTATTTTAAAAAGATGAATAAAAATAACCATTTTTTGAGTATAAAATTTAGTAAATAGTTGTCGGTTAAAAGAAAATAAATCTCCGTAAATTTATTTTTGTTCATATTGTGCAATGTAAACACGAGTACCAGAGGCAAATGCGAATTGCACCATACGTTTGTTACTGTTATCATTTGTCTTTGGTTCAATAAAGGCCAATGAATAAATACCACTTGTCAATTCCGTTACTGATCCAACAACCTGAGTATTTAATTAATCAAATAACGTGAATGTACAATTTAGTAAACATTATTGATATAATTGGATTGACACTGCACGAAGAACAGACTTATAGTGACAACACAGAAATCGACAATAAATACAACTGATATAAAAAAGTCCCTATGTCACGTTGATCCGCGGTAATATAGTAAGATGACAGTCTGTGACTAAAGAATTATCACTTGTTGATAACATAATTTTACATATATCGTTAACTGATCTGAAATTGCAATGAAAAGCAATTGATTATTTCATACTGATTTGTCCAGCGGAAGAATAACTTACTCAAGTATTTTATTCAGACAGAATACCACCAGTAATCTAAATCTGGTATATAAAAATTTCTATCTCATTGATGAGAGGTTTCTAATTTATTTACCTCATAACAATTTTATATCTTACACACGTAAGAGAAAGCTATTAAATGATCTATAAACTCTTTTCGATGGTTAGGTCACAAGTTAAAATTCCCTTCAAAATGCTTCTCTTTCCTCATTGTTTAGACAGTCCAGTTTAGTAAGACAAAAACCCTAATTTCCATCTGTTATTAGAGTGGTAATTCTGAGCAAAAGAAACCATTGGAACTGGCCAATTAAAGTGGATGTAGTATGAAATCGTCATTTCGAAATGTATTATAAATATTGAACTATTGAGTTGATGGTCTACAAGAAAGGATTTTCAAAAGTGCTGGTAACAGAAAGTTATTTGTCCTAGTTCGTTCCTTTTGAGTGCTCAATGAGCTTTTCATCTATTTTCTAAATAAATTAAAAAGGTCTAACTCAACCAACACTATATAAGATGAGCAGATCCGGTTCTTTAAGAGGATAACAGCCTGGTGATCGCACATACGACTTTCTAGTAGATATTGATGAGGACCCAATGAAAATACCGGGTATTTTGAAGATTGCATTCATAAACTTAAAATTGAATGAAAATTAAATAAACTTAGAACTCACATTCAATGTGAAACGACTGATAAGTTTTAGAATATTTGCATCTGACCCACCGAATGCTATGTAATACGGTCCAAGCCATTTTGCTACATAACCCTAAATACATAATAAAAGGACAAATTATATATATATATATATATATATATATATAATATTGACCTAGTTATCTGAATCAACTTTGAAATGAATCATATATTGACAATTGCGGCACTGAGCATTCACCACATACTAATCGATTAGACGATTTATTTTACAGTTTACATAATGGATTGACTTTAGATAGACACGAAATTTAACTCTGATCATCTAGTTACTATTAACCTAAATCAATTAACAACTATATTATCTTATAAATAAGTTTATTAAATCTGGTCTAAATAAGGCTTTCATTTATTCAATAACTGTCTATGCAGTTATACTTTATGCGATATCCTATCTAGTTTTTTGATCTCATTACTCATATCTGATGGGTTGATGTTGTTTCTTTCTTTATTCTCTGTAAGTCCTGTTTAGCAATTCAAAATGTAGGCATTTTTATAACAACGTGGGACTCCTTAGCAGTGCGCATTGATAATACCGCCTCGCATAATCATTTTATTGTTTAATTTATTCAAGTTTATTAAATCAAATTTTGGTTGTGATATTCACAAACAGATATATTTGTTTTATCATATTGGATAATATATTCAGTTATTGACTGGCTGTTGTTTATTTTTGCATATCATAACAAATTGATTCATGTTGTAATGATTATTAAAAACACTACGATTTTGTTTTCTTATAAGTTGTAGCTTAAATGTGCTTTTTTTCAGTCATATGATGTCTTATTTATTATTTACAAGAAACAAAATACAGAATACCGATTTAATAATTAAGGCTGATTTTATCTGTCATGTTTTTAATGTTTAAGTAATGTGTTATATCCAGTAATGGCCACTTTTCGAGTGAATGATGTATAATACAGTAAAGTTTTGACTAGAGATTTTATTTCAGGTTCTAACTTCCAAAATATTGTCTTTATCATCCTAGATGTTTGTCAGTACTATTCTGAAATATTCATGAACGACCATCGCAGATAACTGCAGACCTTTGAACTGTAATTTTTAGCTAACATTACACTCTAAGATGCAGCACTCATCCATCAAATGAAAAAAACAGTGCTCGAAAGTGCCGGATATAACATACTGATTGAACACTAAAAACGTAACTTATGACAGCCATAACTAATGGTATCAACAGTTTTCACTTAGATTTTGTAAGTGAATTCTGATTAAAAATGACATAAAATAAGTAATTCTTATTCTGTGACTTGTAGCAACATCGAATAATGCATCACTCAGGAAGTGTGCAATGAATGATTTTGTTTATAAATTCCGAAAGTGCAATAATAAGATGGAGTCTGTGTTAAAAGTATGTGATGTGTCAGCGTAACGCATTTTGTATAATCTGATCACAGACTTACGTATCAATGAATTTTGAGCGAAGAAATTTCTTTTCAATTAGTTTTTCATCATGGCTCTACACTAATATATATACGTTTTACAATAATAATATAATACTCATCGAGTGGATACGTTACGTAATAATTACATAATGACATTTAAATTAACATTAATTAATTGGAAGAAAGAGGATTATTAATATTCAAAGTGATCAAGAAGTTGCTAAGTTGCGTAATGTAAGAAACAAAGAAGGAACAGAATTTTAACGGATGGTCAATAGGATGGTAGTTACGTAAGAATCAAGAGATGAATGTTGAGAAGTTATAAGGCTCAAAAGTGATAGAAACAAAATTACAAAAATTTTAAAATAAATAAAATAAAAATGGAAGAAGTATGAAAAATAGTTCTTCTGACGGAAATGTTATACTGAAGGCCAGGGGAGAGAAAGTGGTTGTACGAATTTCTTTTGGATGCAAAGGTCAGGTTTGTGAAGATGGATTGCGATGGCTTCCGCAATGTGCAAAAGGCGCACTCGTAAACCATGTGGTAGATTTGATGGAATATTGTAGATAACCTTAAAAGCTTTATTCACTTCGACTTGATGACTTGTGTCCACCAAGTGAGAGAGAATAGAACTTTTAATCACTTTCACCTGTCCTTTGCTTAGCCATGTTGGATGATGTTCAGTAATGCGGTGACGGACTTGCCGAATCGTACGCCCAATATAACTGGCTCCACAGGAGCAGTTGAAACGATAGATACACATAGATTTGGCGAATTCTGGCAGTCTGTCTTTAATGGATGTTCTTATTTTCGGTTGGTTGTAGAAGATGACATTTAATTTGGCAGCATTAAATGTTTTTTGTACCGCTCTTCTTAGTTTCTGAGTCATGACTTCTTCAATGGAGTCATTTATGAATTGTAGTTTTATGAATAATACCTTCTTGGGGACAGTGGGTATTTTTGTCCTTGTTTTCTTCTCCGTCATATGTTTTTCGATGAATTTCATTGGGTACCCATTCAGACTGAGTAGGTTCCGAATATTGTTCAATTCATCTTCAATAGTGTCTTCAGAACAGATCATTCTAGCACGATGTGTCAAGATCTTTATTAAGTTCCTTTTGTATCTGATTGGAACTGCACTGTGGAAATGAGTGTATTGACCAGCTGCTGACTTTCTGTGTACTCTTCTTTTTATAGTTCCATCTGTTCTTCTAGTTAGTTGGACATCTAGAAAAGATATGCTATTATTTTGTTCATCTTCTGATGTAAAGTTAATTGATGGGTGAACGTTATTAAATATATTAAGTAGGTTGTGCTTATCATTTTCTTTTTCTAATACTATGAAGGTATCATCTATATAGCGATAATAAGTTGGTAAATGGCTAATTATGCTTTTGAGTGGTCCGTCAAATCTACCACATGGTTTACGAGTGCGCCTTTTGCACATTGCGGAAGCCATCGCAATCCATCTTCACAAACCTGACCTTTGCATCCAAAAGAAATTCGTACAACCACTTTCTCTCCCCTGGCCTTCAGTATAACATTTCCGTCAGAAGAACTATTTTTCATACTTCTTCCATTTTTATTTTATTTATTTTAAAATTTTTGTAATTTTGTTTCTATCACTTTTGAGCCTTATAACTTCTCAACATTCATCTCTTGATTCTTACGTAACTACCATCCTATTGACCATCCGTTAAAATTCTGTTCCTTCTTTGTTTCTTACATTACGCAACTTAGCAACTTCTTGATCACTTTGAATATTAATAATCCTCTTTCTTCCAATTAATTAATGTTAATTTAAATGTCATTATGTAATTATTACGTAACGTATCCACTCGATGAGTATTATATTATTATTGTAAAACGTATATATATTAGTGTAGAGCCATGATGAAAAACTAATTGAAAAGAAATTTCTTCGCTCAATTCGTTCCTTCTTTATTTACCAAATGGCATAATGGGAATTTTCAATGAATTTTACTTCAAACAAAGAAAGGTCACTTAAATCAGAAGTGACAACTGAAAGTATAAGAAAAAGGGCATAATATAAGGAGAATATCAAGTTGTCACATGATTGCTGGCGTTAAACATATATTAGCTATTACCGAGAGAAGTTCGAAGTAAGGATAAGGCGTTTTTGAATAGAAAATTAATTCTCACGTTTTCTAATAGATGAGGTTTGCACCAGTTGACCGGTCTCAATTATATTCTTTGCATTAGAAGAATGCCCATCTAGTCCTGAGGGTTATCTGAGCTTGCTACGTCAACTAACTCTGAAACTATTACAGTGTATGTTCCATCATCCTGGATTATTTCCTGCCTTTTCCTGGTTTACATACAAAAGATTTCAACAAATAAGTGTCTAAATAAATTAGCTAAGATGTACTGTCCAAAATATCACGCATTTTTGAGACAAGCTCCATCTTCTAGTTTCACTTTCAAAATGATATTTTCTTTTACTATACACAAATAAACACTTGGTTTTTTAAAACGATGTATTCTATAATTTACAGAAAAGAAAATGAGGTGGTTTTATTTGACTAGAAGTTTGTTAGGTATTTAGACCTCATGTACTCAATTTACTTACTTTACTCGGTCCATCATAGGCATCTTGAGGTATTTCAGCTACTGGTTTACAGTAGTATAAAGCTCCAGTTTGTTTATTTATGATTTCCCTTCCAGTTGGTATAGACAATTCATCACCTTGATGTTCAGCTGAATTATAAAATTCAATCATAAGCTCTTCATTAAATTTCCAAACCTTATGTAGATAAGTGAAAACAATTTATCTTTAGAACGAAAGTAAACAAACGAAATTGAATTCAATAATTTACTAAAGATATATAGTCTGTACAGAAGTTTCTTACGGATGCTGAATAGTATTGTTTCTTTTTACATTATCATCTCAATGTTGTTTGATTCTACCATAAAGTTCAGTTAATTGTTGACTTATTTCTTTAACTTATATATATATCTTTCTTAACAGCCAGACTGTAATCTTGAAAGGCTTTGAATTACAATCAAAAATACTTTGTATATTTTTAATTTGAATGAAAATTTATCTGAATACACTTCGTTGTTATGTAAATCTGTACAATAATGTTTTCTTATGGTAGTAGACGTTTTAAAAACAGTATTGCTACAATTTGTTGATAAAATAATGTCTTATATCGCCTAAGCTATAAAATGTTCATAACAATTAGTGGTTTTATGAATTAAGTTCTTCAATCAATTCAGTAGTAGACGATGGTTGTTAAAACAGCTGAAATTTGTTATTATGGCTGGTGAACACTTATGGTTAAGAAACATTTATACAGCACTAATGAAGCTTTCATTCATACTGAAATATACAAAATGATCGTTCAATATTTCTATTTGGAGTTGTTTATGATACTGAATATTATTTACAGGAATGAACTGTGAAAATGAAGCGATAATCAGGTATCACAGTCACTCATCTCTATGTGGAATAGTCTCAGATGGTATAATAAAGTACTGATTTGTACTAGGCTGCTTACTATGAAGCCTGTTCTTAAAAATATCTAACAATAATAGGCTATTTAAATTTGTCTCCTGCTTGAATTTCATCTAAAACGGAAGTGTTACGAATGTCAACATTTGGTGGTTAGTGTCTCTTGTAAGTAATCGATTTTATCTTTAAACTTCAGATAGAACAAGCGATTTAACTGAGTTGAATAGTAAAAGAGCACAGAAGACGACGTAAACTAGCCAACTATTAAGACATTTCAATCAATTTTCTTTTATTGATTGAACATATTATAAGGATTCTACCTTTAAAATATTTTACAAAAACTCAAAAATGCTTCGTGATGAAATATAATAAAATATGAGGAATAACTAATTCATTTGTATTAGTTGTTTGAATCTTCCCACTGATATTTAGGACATCAGCTGATAAATCTCTTTTGGCATATGTGCATCCGGTGCAGACTGGATCAATATGGCCGTTGGGACACAGGTGTCATATGCAGAGTCGGATTATGACTAGCATTAGAATCCAGGACACACTTACATCCTGGTTAGGACTCGTCAACCGGATGCATCCAGGACAAAACGTTAGTCTTGGATTCAACTACTAGCCACAATTAAACAGCTAAAAAGGAATACCTGCTCTAACAGGAATTTTTATCGAAGATATAACTTATATTGTATTTAGCAAGAAGTGCTTTTACTTTCAAGAATAGTTGCTCTAGCTTTATGTTCTAAGATACGGTTTTACGAAGCCGATACACGGTGTAGGTCTAGATTGATTTCATTAAATGAATAATCATTATTTAAACGATAGTTGCCGATAGACAACTATGTTATTTTATGTGTTTTATACGTTGATAAATAATACATGCTGTTTAAGTAAGAGTAGGATTTCGAAAGAAAAAAATATAAATAGTTGTAGGCATATTCCTTTTTATGACGTTAATCTAAATAATAGTAAACAGTAAATATTAAACAAAACATAAGTATCTGTTTATTAATTATAACGTTTTCTCTCAACTACTAATATTCAGGACAAAATTGGACAATCATTGTTAATATATATATATATTCATAAATATTTATTACTTGCAAAATTGATTTATCACGGCGCCATGAACTTGATAATATATGATTTGATTCTGATTCGATTTCCAGTGCATCTGATCCACAAATATGAGGACCATAATAAATCCTAAAGATATAACGGAAGTAATAAAATAGGTGTTTTCTAATTGAGTTAATAAAATTAATTTTTCCTTTCTTGTTAATGATACACTGACAACTAACAAATATAGTACAATCAAACTTATTTTCAAGTGGTTTTATAGTGATGTACAAAATACGGTCACGTCTAGAATGAATATAAGTGATAATTTTATATAGAATTTTCATGGGAGATTAATCTAACGAAAGTGCTCATTGTGTGACGATGATAAGTAAAATATGGATTAAATCTCAATTGTGATAGTATTCAAAGTAGTAGTATCCTGTATTGAAGTATGATTAGTAATATGCTTTGCATTCATATGGAATAGTGCTATAATGATCAGTGGAAAAAATAGATTTGAAATATATTTAAATGTGTCCTATAACTTAGTTCCGAAAGCTCTTTTGGTTCGTGACATAGGGATCTCTTCTTTAAACCCATCCGGCCCGAATATGCTTACAAAATTTGCTGTTCATATTTTTCCAAGCGAAATATTCTGCCAACGAAGACTGTTTCAGATAACTTTATTATCAGTCAATATTATTGAAGCACAAGTTGGAACAGAATTGTACCAAAATAAGGAAATTACAATTATTTTAAATCCGTAAAGTTTTGAGTTCTTAAAAACTTTCAATATTAGATAAGCATCACGCTTTTATGAATGAAAAGGAATCAGAAATATAAATTCATCTGAACAGATCGTTCAACTGATAAATTCCAATAGTGTAATGAAAGATGTAGACTATTAATAAAATATAATTCATCAGATCAATATGTTTTGTACAAAATGGATACCCGTTAAACTTCACATACTAGTAGTAAACCTTCGAAATTTTATGAGCTGCGACGTCTCTAGCATTAGCAAAGCGCTTACATAACCCTACCATTCCATAATCAGTCAAAGAATTTTATGTTGAAATGAAACAGAATTCACAAAAGAGGTAAGGTCATTGAAATTTAAAAAACGGTTCTCTGAGTTGTTAAAAATAAACAAAGGGGATCTAGAAGATTACAGGTCATTTCGTTATGTCTATGAATTTACATGTGTATGTGAAAATATACGCATAGTGAAGAGCAAATGTAATGTACATATAACTAAAATGTTACAAAAGTAGATAAATGTCACTTATTCAACAAGGGCTGATGATAAACACTCATTTTCTGCTACTTCTGGACATTTCTAGTATGATAAAACTCAAAGTAATTTATACTCATATTAAACCTAAGCTTATAATACTCAGAGCCTTTCCATAGAGGCCTTCTTATATCAACACTTATCATATTGTACATAATTACTAACCAGTCATTAGTATATAGGATTTCACTAAAGAAATAAACGTTTACTTTTTGAATGATATAAATTTTTCATTAGAATTTTAATTTAAAGCAATTAGTCCCTTTTATAAATTTTGATAGAGCAATGAGAAGACGGAGTTGATCTGAAAGTATATATATGACCAGATTGTTCAAAATGTATGGCGCTAAAACACCACATTTTTCAAATCAACTCCGTCTTTTCATTGCTCTATCAAAATATCTAATCCTTTGTTCATAAAGAGTCTTCATTAAATCTTTTCACAATTTAAACACTGGTTTATATATGATTTTGACGAAAGTATTTATGTATGTATATCCGAATGGATGAGTAGCAGCAGTATTCAGTATATATCTTTCAGATATATATATATATTCTTATCAATCACTTCTAACTAAAATAGATAGTAATTTCATTTAATGTATAAAAACAATTTATTCTATGCCTTTACAAAACCAAACATGAAATAATCTAGAATATTCTGGAATCATTCATTTATCTTCTAATAGTAATAAACAATAACTTAAACAAAAAGATGATTGTATAATATTAGTATACAAAGAAACCTTACAGATAATAATTATAAATAAACAAAAATAATTACCATAAAGAATGTAAATACCGATCATCCCATATTTGTATTGTATCATCCCAACCACCGGTAATAAATATATGCACATAATCTTCATAAACAGCACCACGTGGATGATATTTCACAGCACATATACGCATTACATGTCCATCCATTTTTTCCTTAGTAAAACTTAATTAAAATGTATATTGTCATAATATAATAACTAATAAACGTTAAGAATACTTACTAGAATCTTTCCCACTAACATGCAGAACTAAAAGTTTTACCATATAAAAATTAACTTATTAAGATAGATAGTGAAAAGGAAATTGTATTTGTTGAAATTCCAGTGATCACAGTTAAAAATAAATTCAACGCTTTGCTCGACAATCTGACCCAACGTTTTTCATACTAACAAACAGGTTTCACAATACCGCTATGTGCCTAATGATTTCACAATATGTTAAAATGTTGAATTTAGAACTTGTAAAAGTGAGAATATGAGTCTCTTGGTGTGAACTATGGTGAAATTGTAGTAGATAAAGAAGTTCATTTAGGTATATGCAAGTCTGATGTAAAAAAACCATTGATCATGTTTGGCTCTAGGCTATAATCTGAGGTAAAATTAGGTAGTTAAATCATAGAGGTTATGAGGGAGTTGCCCACCAAATACAACGGATTATGGTTGTGTCATATTATAGACTGTTATAAGTTAGACTTGTACACCACTGAATCCCGGCCAGATGGTCTAGAGTTTAGGCGTTCGTGAGCGAGATCAAATGTCTTGAGTTCGATTCTCGCCTTCATGTTCATGGATGTATATGTCACGGATGTCTATTGCTTCAAGGTTTTCAATGGTTGTCGGCTTGCGGTTTCAATAAAATTAGTTAATCTAATTTATAATCAAAGCATTCATAAAACGATGGTAAATAAATGTATGCTTGTATTGTTATGTTAAACAAACTGACTGTACAAGGCGTATCCAATCGTAATTATTGGTTGAATCTAAGTCATTGTGGTCCACCAAACGTGATATGAAAAATGATTAGTAAAAAATTTAAATCTATGTATTAAATGATAGTTGCTATGGTCCAGCTAATTGTATTCATTCTTGTCGATTTGAATTTTTCATGTTTGCTCATAAATGTTGGGTTACACCCGTCAGTCTTTGTAAGAACCGAGAATATTTTGAAGGACTTTTGCCGCTTCCAAGTCGATTATATGTCCGGTTTCCACTAAATTCAATAATAACACCCATCTATTTGCAAGTTTTCTGATTTAGAAATCAGATATCAGTAATGTTTGTATTCCTATACGCTCACAGTCAACTGTCGTGATGTCTCCCCTAAATATCCAAGACTACAGTCATTACATTCGATATCATAAACACAATTCGATGGTTCTACTTTTGGCGTTGTATCTTTGAATAACATGATCAGCATTATGGAGACGGTTTTATTTAAGGACAACCCACAGCACGTATTATAATCAGCCAGAGAACCATCTAGAAGGGAACAGGATTGAAAAGTTACTACGTATTTTTACTATTGGACATTTCAACAATCTATTTCACACCTCACTAATAATCGGACTCTGAACGTTGTAATGAAAGGGATACCTTTAAATCACTGAGTTCAAACACAATTATTCACTTTCTTTTCAATTTGTAAGATTAAGTGAGTACTATCCAATTGAGTTCAACCATATCAATAATAAGACAGATATTATTAACGAAAGTTGGTTTTGGTTATACAATAGACCATACTTTTTTGTGTAACTAGATTAAAGTTTCTATAAAAATACACGCTACAAGAATAATACAGTAAACATTAAAAAAATAGTACGCCACAAGCATAAATGTAGGAGTGATCTTTTCTGTCACAACTAATTTATTTCAGGTTAGCACAATTTATTAATATTCAGAAGGGAATACGTTGATTACTATGATTTAATAGGAGAAAAATTTTGTTTATTCAGAAGACCAAATGTTAGCAGTTCCAAAATATAGATATTTTTAACGGTAGGATTCACAGATGTCTCCTTGATGAATTGATTTGGTCCAATACTCCCCAAAGGCTTTCATATTTAACCTGTTTCAGCTCCCATTTTTATTGAAGTTAGTTGAGTACATTTAGTAACTATCTTAGTTACCGTTGATTAATAACTCATTAAGCCGATTTATTTTCTTAACGCGTAATTAAAAATTATTTATGAATTCTTCACTTATTGATTTAATTATATTCAAGCAACTCTGAATTTATTCAAACAAACACAAACGCATTTGTCCCGTTTTTAGTGACTCCAGTTTCCGGTCAGATAATCAATCAAAACAAGATGCTACTCAGTCAGTTTGTTCAATAATATATTTTTGAGTAAAGACACTCCTTATAGAATGACTGAACTTGCAAAAATTCACCTAAGCATTTGTGAATGAATGAGAACTTGCTTACTGGTTCTGTATAGCTTACTTTCAGTAATATAGTATGTGTGTGAACCAATTCAAGCAAGTTTGCGAATTTTCTCAGTTCAATTTAATATAACCCCCTAGTTATCCAGAGTGCACATAGCTAATCAATTAAATAAAATTGATTCTATTACATTTATAAAAACTATATGGCTTAACTGATCAGCTTTTATATATTTTTATATCCAAAAAATAAACTACACTGAGAATTTCTTTCAAATGAAACAGCTCATCAGTTGAGTTCGAGTAACTTTCTCTACATAGATGAAAATATTTTAAACAATTTTATCAATATTATCTTATCCTGGGTTCGGATCTCGCGGGGCGGGGTCGTGGTTTCACACTACTGAGGAGTCCAGTGCTTCCAGATTTTCCATGGTGCTCTAGCTTTAATCGACTCATAATCTCAGCTATTGAAATTATACATTCATTGTGACCGATCAAACTATTGTTTAAATTATTTTAACCGAAATGATCGACTATTCATCGAAAAACGGAACTCTTTTTTCCACAATGGACAGAGTATAATACAGACAAACTTTTATCAATACTCTAGCTTTCACAGTTTAAAAGTCTAAAGAAAACGAGATCACATAACCACAAATATCCTTGTGAAATTAAGTTAATTTACTGGTCTCTACACTTTTACTGATAATCTCGCTTTTTTAACACTGAAAACTTTACTAAACAAGTTATTGCTTAAATCATATACACATGTAATAAATAGTTTAAACATAAAATATAAAGAACCAATGTTAAAATAAACGAATGAACGAATGATTCTTAGTGTGTAGTGGATAAGTTCATCAAAGAATTTCGATCATAATAATTATGCTTAGATTAGGTAATTAGATGGTAGAATATTTACAATAATCTATTGTCTCCTAAACACTTTATCTTAACTTTATGATAGAGATGTTGGGTGACATAAATTATTTGATGCACAAGAATTGTGATTAAAATTTCCCTTCACTTTTTAAAACCGATGCTGGTATTTCTTTGTACTGATAAGTCAAAGTTATCAAAACTTAAAATACGCTGGGTTCATAGTTTTTGTACATAGTATGCTTCAAATTTATTAAGTTTACTACTATGTAAATAAATAGTAGTGTTAGTAGCAGTCATGAAAATTACTACATTTTTATTGTAATTAGTAGATCTCAACAACTATGAGAAAATTACGCAAAAGCGAACTCAACATAAAATATAACCGTCTCATATAACCTTGAACTGAATCAACATAAAAAACACCATTTATACCAAAAGAATACTAGTGTCAGTTTAGTGAACAACACTAAATATAACGTTTTGGAATGATGTCATCAATGTATGTACTAACTTTTATAGTAGGACAAATCACATGATTTCTTTCTTTAGTTAAATGAATTTTTTACAAGACTTAAGTAACTATCAAATGTGTCAAGAAATAATTAAAGTGTGGTTTCCAAGATTATATGCAAAAGAACCATTCAATAATGAATTTGATTTATATTGTGAAATTGTTCTAAACTTTAGCATGTGATTCACTATTTACAATTAAAGAAGACTTTTCTTTTTTTAATATTTACTTGAAAACTGGAAACCGGAATTCGCCTTTATTTTGATCAACTACTTGTATGGAAAAATAAGATTATAAACAACACATTCTTTTTTTCATAAGTACAGTAGAAATATCAGCTGATGTTGCTAACAGGTGAAACAAAAATAAACATACTTAGTGTATATTAGTTTGTAAGTGATTATCATATATACTGTAAGAATACTTTTAAAATTGATAAAAAACAACCATAGACCGTTTTATAATTATAGTATTTTTTTATATGTATTTATCTAAGAAATTATCAAAACTCAAAAACCGTTTGATGAGATCATTCCCACGTCAGATATCTTCAGTCAATCGTAGACAATGTAGAATCTGACACGAATAGGTATCACTTACGTTTTTATACCTTACAACAGCACATTAAGCGAAAAAATTATCACGGTGGGAGGTGAAAGTGAGGAAAGTTGAACAAAACGTTTGTTTATAAAATAACTAGTGAGATAAGAGAATAAACAGTATAGAATGACTCGGAATTTAAAAGTTAAAAGATCAATCATGAGTGTGATTGTACCGATGAGGTAAGCTTTGAGTCATGCAACCGAACGTCTTCAACCATATATTACTGGTAGTTTGCGGATCCCGACCTGCAATTCTCCACCTGCATATATATTTCAAGCTGATAGTCAGTAACTTGGTTGGCCTGTTCAGTATCTTCAATTAGGAGCCTCAATATTTCTGCCAAAGTGCTCTTATGGCAGACAAGATGATTATGAGAGTGGCTAGACATATTTGCCATGTGTTACTATCATCCGAAACGATGAAAGTTTATGGCTTTATCAGTTAACTTACTGTCTCTACCTTGAACCCTTCATCTAGAAAGCGATAGTACCTTTTCGAAGATACTTAAACTCACAGTTTTAAAAGAATATGTTGAACTAACAACATACACTTTATAAAGTACTTTAGCTTCGAAGCAAATTCAAGGATCGTGATACACAATCAGCATTAGTTATATGAAAAATAATATGAGCAAGGTGATCATTGATCAACAGCTTATAATAAGTAGGAAAACCATCTGTCTGAGGAATTTTGTAGACCATGTTTCTCCAGATAATTTTTCGCAGGATCTTAAATATTTACATGTATTTTCAAACGTTAAGTAACGAACAAGTCCCAAAAAACGTTACATTAGCCATTATGTAGACCGTATAAATATGAGCAAAGATTTGCTCGTTTAATTAGGAAAAGTTAGGCAAATTATTGCTCTAATTAGTTGTTCCGAGATTTTCTACTTCAATCAATTGGTTAATAAATTGTCATCTGACTATAAAAGATGCATTACATACACGTATATATAATCTGTTAATAAAATTTAAAAAAGCATGCATAATTATAATATAATTATGACTGAAACTTTTGAATGAATTAGATGCCAAAATAATACTTCACATTTCATCTCTATTTGTCACTAACATTTAAACAGTTTTAGTCTTAGTTTTGGAGCATCACCACTAGATTAATTGCAAATAATCCACATGTGAAATTCAGGAGTTATTGAAAAGTAAGGGATTTACCAAATGACATCATATAATCTTTCTTCAAAATAAGCTATATATCAAACAAACTACATTTGATGATTATTATGAATAGGTGATAAGATAATATGCATTTTGAATGTAATAACAGAAAGTCTGCTTATCTGAAAAGACATGTTTGTAGTTTTAAATGCTGGTTTTATTGACATAAATAATTTTATTAGCAAATACTAATATATACTGAGATTCCTATACTAAGTTCTTGGTTCTCTACCTCTATTTATACAACTCAATATTTCTACAAAATAAAAACCATTGAGTTTTATTGATGGAGGAAGTTTTAAGTTATCAACTATTTTATCAGAATTTCATTAGAAAAACGTAGAAAAGACAGTTGAAAATGATCTTCATAAAACACAGTTATATGAGTGAAGAATATCCCTTTTGTTGGGGTGATCCAGAAACGTGCTTGCAAAAGACGAGCAATCATCAGGAGACACTAAGAAGCGTTTCGTCCAATCAGCGTTCAGTTGAAGTCTTAGCCAAAAATATCAAGGAAGTGAGACGTCACATACAGAGGCTCTGATTGGTTGTTTGCTACACTGCTACTATGTTTAGTAGCATTTCAGAATCTTCTAGCAACCCAAGGACATTTAAAATATTGTAAAAATCCTGTGTTTTCTGTATTAAAATGAACCTTGGAGTAAACTACTTCTCGCATACTTTGCGTCTTCTCTCTCGTGTTCAGGTCGCTGTATAGTTCTAACTTGGGGGTTACAGAATAGCTTAGGATGCGAATATAGCGTTCAATTCGCAAGACTTACCACTTTTCATTAGTTGAGATCATGAGTCAATTGAAGCTAGGCCGTCATGGAAAACATGGAAGCACTGGACGGCCGTTTTATCCTATTGTGGGCTCCTAAGTAGGGTGCATCCATGGCTCCACCTCGCGAGATTTGAACCCAGAACCTATCAGCCCACAAAACCCTTTCTAATATCCTTCTCAGTAATTTATCATCATGTTCTACAATTACATATCCAAATTAATAGTCCATTAAATTGGCCAGGCTTAAGGCAGAGTACATCATTTAAAATTGTAATATGTCAATTAAGGATTGTTCGTCACATAAAATAAAGTGAAATCATTAATGCTGGATTGACTAATATGAGGTGTTAACTTGAATAAGTTTAAACGTCAAAAAACCAATGTTATATTGGGGCATGGATTCAAGACCTCACCGAAATTCGAGGTCATGACATTAACTTAATGTATCGCGTATGATACCGTTAGACTTGTCAGTCATCACCCACAGGTTCATATCTTCGAATCCACACGGTTTGCGCTACAACGCAACTGTCGTCCATATGATATCAAACTGAACGATTACATTAGGGAAGCTTATTTTGACTAGCTGGGCTCTAGCAGTAGAACATTACAATCTTAAGATCATAAACTTTTTAAATTATTACAATATGATAAATTTGTGTTTACCTTGAACTACACATTCGCAAGCGTCTACGAGATTTCATGTCATAAACTCTTAAATGACAATCAACCCCACCAGTTACAAATCGTTTACCATCATATGAACATGAACAAGATAATATCTGATTCATCACGTTTTCTGCATTTGTTCTTACAGGAGCATCAGATGGGTTACTGATCCTTTCTTCCGTGATTGTTGCCAAGAGACGTGATGAATTCATTGCTCCTGTGTAATGCCATAAGCGTGCATGACCAGAAACATCTTTTTGAGACGGTATATGAGAAAAAACAGAATAATCAGAGTAAAATCTCGTCCTAATATCTTAAAAACTTATCTTGTATAAACTACACATCATCTTTGTAATGCGTTGAATAAAACCCAAACAGAGTCCATAGAGGGACTAAGCAACATACTGCGACCCTAAATGACTTATATTTCAGCAATTTGTATCGCTGATTGTCCGACTTATGTTTACAATAAAATAGTGACTAAAAGTCTGAGAGTTTATATTAGAAAGATTTAAATAACTGATTTACAAAGATGTTGTTATTGATACAACACAGGGGAATATGAGAGATTACCTGAACGCAAATAAGGTACTGTTGAGTGATTGCCATCCATAGAAGCTCAACTAGTGGCAAAGTGATGTCGTTTAATAAGCGTTCGGACAAACTAATGAAATAAAACATTTAAATGAATACTAAACAAGGTCAGGCTGCCAAAAGTTAGGCATCTGGCATGTAGTTAGACTGACTGGGATAAGTTTACTCACCATCTAATTATATTGTTTAGAACAAGCTGGCAAATAGAATAAATTAATAAATCATTCCACAAATAAACTGACTAATAACCCGATATTTACAAAAATAATTTCGAAATATCTGCTTTGTTCCTAGAACAGACTTAAGATGGTACTGGAGAACGGTGTTTAACAGAATTGACTACGTCGTATCTTGAGCAAACATTAACATGGTTACTTGTACCCAATATAGCTCAATTTTTAATATTTCACATTCATAATAAGCTGATATGGAAATCAGCAGCATTTAAGGTGCTATTTGAAAAATATCCAACCGTGAATCAAAACATTATTTCATCTATCGGAACTGCAAAGTTATGAATCTCATGAAATATCTGTTCCAGGCTTCACCCCGCCACTTTGGTTTATAAATGTGCATTCACGTTTTCTTTAAATACACGAGTGAGCCATTTCTTGCTAAATGCTAGGCGTTAGTAGTGTTCTCAACCAACTTATAATGTTATAGTCAGTGATACCACGTTTTCGCATTTTTCTTTGTAATATTTCAAGACGTAACCAAACTTTTGGGTGATAAAAGAATAAGTTACAATAAATTTATAATCTTTGAAGATGTTACACATGGTGACAGCTGTAGATAGTCCTTCATACTTGTTGGTATTTAACCACAGGAATAATCCCGTCTAAACTTATTAGTTGAAATTAGCTGAAGTTGTGAAGAAAGTACTTGTTCCACCTAGTGTTTTTTTCATGGAAGGTGAGATGACGCTAAGTTTATTATCTGTGATAATCACGGCTACATTAATCACAACGACATTTGTCTCCATAGACATATATACAAACCAACAAGTTTACTTTCTAGGCTACAAGTGTGCAGGTATCATGGACTCAGAACCCATCCCAAACTTGATTTCAATCTATCTCATGCAAAAATAGACATTTTCACATAAAATTAATCAACTAAAATCTAAGAGTCTACTGTACCTTTCGACAACAAGATTAAGACTACGCGATTAGAAACTAAATGTAGGAGGATACGGCTAATAACTATATATTTTGGTTGATCTGAAGGTAGCTATGGGAGTAAAAATGCTTTTTAGTTTATAAACGGCACTAAAAGCCACCGCAAATTTAAGATTTTTAGATATTATCATGTTGTGGCTTTGAAAGAGAATTGTTAACATAATGTATTCGAATGCAAAGATATCACATTCAGGGTATATTTACGTGATTCAGCCGTTGACTATCAATCTCTAGTTTGTCCTACAAGAGAAAACGATTTACATGAACGCTAATACAATAAATAAATTTATAAAGAGAATTTTAAGGACATACACACGGCTAAAATTAGGTGACAGTTATCCTGAATTTGACCATTGAGTTCTGGGACAGGCTGTAAATCTGAACAAGGGAGAGTTTCGCCATCTGCGTTCAAAGTATAGAAATTATTTGTCTGCTTCTCACTATCTTCAGTGGATAATAGCTAAAAGGCGTTAGCCAACCTAAGATCAACTGAAAGTATTCATACAACAATTGTGCCATTCGAAAGGCCAATAATCCAGTATTTATTGTCATTTGATGTTCTCACTACCATAGCATTTACATTGCCAAAATCTCTAAATTCTCTTCATGACCCAAATTATATTTAAACTTACAACACATTCTGGCTACTTATATTTTCCGAAAACTTTGCTGCGTCTAAATTCTTATCAGAAGGTCTCAAAAATGTCATTAATCGATTGTCAGTTTTTGACATTATTCCTCATTTAAAAAGTTGTTGTTTATTTTATAGGCATAGTGTCATGCATTATAACAAACTTCATTATTGAATAAACCCTAAAAGATTTCAGTACTACCGAAGATTTTCTTTTTTCTCGGATTGGTAAGTACGAAAATGGCTAAAAGTGAGATTTCAGCTCACTGCTGTCTAATACTAGACTACATGTTATGGCATTTCAACTAAGGGGATAACAGAATATGAAATAATTTATCATGTAGGACTACATTAGTTAACTGTATCCGTTTAGTTGATTCATAGAATCCTTGGCTCTATATTGTTCAAATCTCTCCTCATCTTGCGGGAGCTTGACGAAGTACCATGTATTATTAAACGAATTGAATGGAGCGAAACATCTTTAGCAGTCTTTTCAGTACCACAAAGTCTGAACTAAATGTCAGGCAATTTTTTTTGAAGGAATTAACTTAAGGTAATAAGGCAGAGTTCACTGATTGAAATCATGAGTCAATGGAAGCTAGACCACCATGGAAAACCCGGAAGCACTGGACGGCCGTTTCGTCCCAGTATGGGGCTCCTCTGCAGTGCGCATCCACGGTACGCACCCCGCGAGATTCGAACCCAGGACCTATCGGTCTCGCGCCAGGCGCTTAAACGACTAAAGCAGATTGTTTGATACTTAATTCTACAGTATATAAGTTGTCAATATACCTTTTGATGCTAGCACGTGTTCTATACACCAGAAATATTTTTGTTCTTAGATGACATCATTGTTTTTGGATGAAAATGACGACGTGGAACTCACCCTTAGTTCCAGATATACAGTCTGAGTAATTTTCGCTAACGATAATGGAATGCGAGTGTATTCTTTAGGAGTCTCTTTAATGCAGACGGACGACAACAGATAGATACAGTGTAAAGAAATATTGCTACTCTACACAAGTAAAATAGTCAAAGGCAATCTTACGTATAAAGATGTTCATTTTACAAATACCTAGTAGCCAGTTAGACAGTCAATTATACTACAATTAAGTGTTGATAAGAACTGCAGCTAACACATCGATTGGATAAACTGGATTCGAGAAATATTAATTTTTAGGTATATTATAGTGACAAGGAGAAGCGTCTCACTATGATTTGTGATCTTGAAGCTATACTTGAGAGCGCATCATTAGGTAGCGGAAACGATGTCAATATAATTGTGGAATGTTTGCGGAACTATTTGTGATGATTAGAAGTATCTGAATAGTTATACGAACTAGGAATCCCGGAAATGACGCAAATAAGACCAGATAAAACTAGGTGAGCACAAACGAACGTGCTGTATTTGGAGTTCAAAGTCAGGCAGGCATCAAGTACAAAAGAGTTGTTAGTTCATACAACCACCACAACTGCTACAACTTAAATTGGAATCTAAGTTTCAGTAACCAATTGTACGTATTCTCCTGAGGCTCATTGTATATCTGTCAGACTGTGCGTTGAATAAGGTATCTGTGTGATATAGAATATACCCATTAGTAGTAGAATTATTAAGTGAAATTGGAACGGACTCACCTGGGTCCTGTAATTTCAAATGATCAGCATGTAGGCTGTGTACCGACATCACTAATACATAAAAGTTGAACCACAGAATTTCCAAAAATATCTTCCTTCACGAAACAATGTTGGATCTTAATATCCCCAAGCTGTGCATAAGGTGGTTCCCTTTAGAATATATTTCTCACACTGACTTCGATTATTATTCTATGTGAGTATCTGGGGATACACACTGACACATAATTTGAGGCATTCCATCATGTGACTTTGACTTGCATAAAAATATGATACAAATCCCTTTGCTCTTCAAGTTAAAAGACACAAAACCATTGTTCCAGTTATCAGATAATTGTACACTGATATGTGCAACTGACACACGTGATTCATATGCAAAACAATCAAATGAAAAACATGCATCTGCTTCATAATTATTGGGATAATCTTGGATATGATTTAAGTTTCCTGCCTATTCAAACTTCCTATCTGGGCAAACTAGGTCTCCGACTGCTTCGAGAAAACTTGCTACCCCCTCGGATTCACCACATCACTGACAAAGAATTACTCTCTACACATAATGATTGTGAGAATATCCAACATTTGTTAAAAGAACATCAGAAACGTGACTAGAAGTTGACTCATTTGGAATATGTTTGTCAAATTCATTATGGATATCACTAATGATGAATCCGTGATGAGGACAAATAACCTCTAATGCGACACCATAAGGACTGTAATAAGATTTTAACTCATTTAATACTTGTTCAACACATGTAAGAAAGATTTCACTAGCAATAAATGAAACATTATGACAAAACACAAGAAGCATGTGCATTATGAGGACAAATGACACTTGATATGACATCATCAAGATTTCATTCTTCTGAAGTTTTTTCGTCAAATTTATCAAGAATGTCATTGGAGGGTAACCGATCATCAGAAAAATAAGCATCTATCAAAACTGCATCAGATTTTCGATCATGATTTAATTCATTCAGCATATTTTTCTCAGATTTATAAGAAATTTCATCAGAAATATGTGAGTCGTTAGGACAAACCATATCTAGTACGATAACGTGAGAAATCCGAGAAGACGTTGATTGACTAGAAGCTTTTGTCTCACAATGATAACGAGTTTCATTTAACTCTGGACTACCATATGGCTCTACACTGTTTTCCGACGTCGTGGATAAAGGTGGATGATAATTAGAAACACTCAACTTAATCGGATCGGAGTTATAAGATTCAATATTGCTTGCAGCGAAATCAACAGTAGTTTTAAAAATTTCCTGGGTATGTCCAATCATAGACGACGCACAATTTGGTATTACCAATCGACAGATACTTGCCAGGACGTTGAACGTACATAATTGCTTGACAGTGGTCGGCTCCGGATAATCCACGATGGCTGCCTTCTTGCTTTTCAGAGGGCAGATGACTCGAGCTTTTATAGCGTATTGGAGAAGAACTGCGGGGTTGGTTCTAACCTGATATTTCTGAGTGTTTACATTGATGCCATGATTTTCGAGTTGTCCGGAAAATTAGGGTTCGGACGGTGTAAATGAAGTTTCTGTCCTGACATACGTTTAAGAGATCATCTTCATAGAATAATATGAGTCATTACTCACACTAGACATGCCATTTTATGGGCAAGGTCGATTTTTTCACAAATGCTGCAGGCCCTACTCCAATAAGTTACACAATTAGGTTGATATGCTAAAAAGCACATGGATAGTATATACAGTGAACAAATTTTCGTACATAAGAATAATAATGCTAGTAAAACTGATTTTTGGGGTTTATGTTGCGACAAGCAATGAGATGTCGACAATGAATGGAACCAAAGTTCAGGGCAGTCAGTCGAAGACACCAACTTGAATATATTAGTTCGTGCTTCTCGACAGTGTCCCCGGTTAAATTCCAGAGGTGTAAGCGATGGCGCGGTTTAAAGTCGTATGTTCCACAAATGTTTTCTGTGGTATAGCACGAAGATGTTGAAAAAGACGGAGTGGCAGTATACGCGTAGCCATGTGGAAGTATTTCGAGATTGTGAGCTGACTCTCCCCACTCTTGGTCGTACCAGGGCATTCGGGGACACTGACATAACTTACGTAAGATATAGGCATTTCGGAAGAAAATAGTGTACAATGCAGAATACAGAACGTAGGAATAGCACCATATTACATCTCAAAACTAAAAGCCTTTAAGTGACACTATGAAGGGTCTGAACACACAGAAAGCTAGTTTGTAGTAACCTGGAGACATAGTATAGGAAACTCGGCAGGCATAGTAACTTACAATCACGGATGGCCTATAAACACCTGGCTATATCTAACACATACTGCCCTCGTGATGTTTACCAACAGTTATTAACACAACAGGCCAACTAACTTATCAAAGGGAGCCACGTTATATCAATAATCTAAGGGACGAGTGCGTGTTACTGACCAAGAGGCGGTTTCGTCTTTTAAGTGGTAGACGTTCATGTATGAGTGCTAACATATGATTCAGTCTAGCCCAATAAACTTCTTTTCAGTCTTAGTGTACCACTGAGTATATTGCATATAGGAAGTTTGTGTATGAGTATTAGTCCCAGGCACCGCACACCATAAGTTACTTCATTGGACGCTGTTTTCCAGATAAAATGTTGACAAGACGATTCTGTACATGTAATGGGAGATTTTACTAGTTTACATTATATGCTTGGATCCACTAAAGTTACCGGTTAATTTCTTTATAACATAGAACAAGACACTTTATTGCGAAGGTTTGGTCTCAATGGAGGATTAACAGCATAAAAATATAGTATAAACAACTTATAACAAATGTACAAATTATTGAGAACTTTAATTCTCAAATAGCAGTTTTCTTTAAAATTGTTCGGCGATACGATAAAGTGGATAAACAAGAAAGTAAATAAACGGTCTACTGATAACAACCCTACAAATCTACTGAAGCAATCACTCTAAACTTTTCGAGAGCATTCATGATCTAATTGACGTCTGTTACAAAACCAAACGCGAACTGATTCTCTATCACAGCCAATCCTTGATGCCAATTCAGTGAAATCAGTACCTGGCAATGGACAATAGAATAAAACAGGTGAAATCTCACTGCCGTCATAACAACAAATAAATGGAAATCATAATGATTAATATTCTTATAGAAGATTACATTCCTATTTACAAGTCAAAACAGGACAGAAAAATCCCCAGCTATCATAGAAGACTTGCAGATTATAGTATGCTGTGGAACAATATAACACTGAGATAATTTGAGTAAAACAATTTAGTAAAATGTCAGTGTATTAGAAAAGAAAGCGAAGTTAAATACCAAATCTAAGATGACAATTTGTTGAAGTATATAACTTTGGTTTGTTTAACTTCTTAAAAGTTCATTTACAAAATTTAGTTGAGTTGCACACTAAAGTAACATAGAAATCATTGAAAAATAACTAGAAACGAAATAATGAACAAACTAAATAATTCTGTATACATAAATTATTTTGTCAAAATCAAATCTCATCCGTTAGAAAACTTAATGTGAAGGAAAATGCACAAAGTTATTGATGTGAATTACTTTAGATTACTCTGTTCTTTTATGTATAAATTAAGATACACGGGAAATTCGACGAATAAAAATTGTTCGTCAGCTTTAAGGTCGACAGAATAAGCCAAAGTAGCTCATAAAAAATTCCTAACGTTTACTACTATTTGAATTTAGTAATGATACTGTCTCGATAGACAATAAAAGCTTCACGAATACAAGTAACCTAACACAGAATATATATATATATATATATATATATATATATATATATATATATATATATGACGAGTACATACCTTTTGGTCGAGTATTTGTAGAATAAAATTCAGTTAATATTGATAAAGCTTTTGGGGAAAAATAAGTACGGCGCCGCCGACATCTTTTTTGTTGTGGATCTGGTAATTTACAATTGGATTCAGATATATCAGAAGTTAGCTCCGAAAGTGAAGAATGATCTGTAGGACAATCGGCAACACAATCATTATCTTTGACCTAGAATAGGAACAAAAAGAAAGTTTAAAAGTCTGTAATTAAATATTCAGTAAAATTAAGTGTAAAACATTTATTAACATTTTATTTAAACAATGAACCGATCTAAGTTACACTATTCGTGAAAACCTGCAAAAAGTGGATGGCTGTTTCGTCCTAGTATGGGAATCCCTGAAAGGGAGTATCCACAACCCCGTACCTAGGAACCGAATCCGTGAACTTCAGTGTCACGTGTGAACACAACCTATAGACTACTGAACCAGCATCCGACAGTGTTAATTTCCAACTTAAAATGTCAGTTTCCACAAGAAATGTCGTCTATCAAACTGATTAAGAATTTGCTGTCAATTAAAATTATCGATTTTCTTTATGATTAGATCTATTCCGACAATTATCTGCAAATATATCCTTACTCTTACGGTTAGGAATTCAATTTTAAACTGAAATGTACAGGAAAGCTGCAAAAAAGAGAAAAAGTTTGTTACCACAAAGTATAGTTTAATGTTTAGTTATCGAGGATAACACGAGTAAATACGGTGCACTACATACAAAATCCAATAAAAAAATAATCGGAAATCATATTCATTAATCTACATAGTACACTAACATATCATAAGTCGATACTTATATAAAAAAATTCGGATGAACCTAAGTAACTGTTCTATAACATCCCTACTTACCTTAACAAAACAACATGATATTCAGGTGTTCACTTCTCCTAAATAAAATCTAAACGTTAATTAATAATAATTGTAGAAATTTTAAAACCATACTTAGTAAAATAATACACAAACGCATCACAGAAGTTTTATACTTTCACAAAAATGAATTACTGACAATTAATTTGGCTCCAGTAAAAACAAAAACTGACTAAAACGTCAATACTTAGAAAGAGAGGATATTTATATTAAATCTAAGTTTTAGGATAGGATATCACAATCTCTCTGGCCAAGTTAGATGACTTAAATCAGTGTTTAAACAAAATTTTAGTTTAAACTTTTAAACAATTTAACTTAGAAATCAAGTGTGGGTTTATACACTCAGCTTGGAATCAAACAATTCACGTAAGGATCAGTGATACTACTGTGGTGAACGAGAACACAAGTGGGGACAATCGAATGTATTTGAACACAAAATTACAGAATCTCTTAGCAACATCCGAGAACCATACAGTAAATAATATCAGTCAATCTTCTCAGACTTCATTGTTCCCCCGTTTCCACATCAATTATTCTCTGTTCTCGTTCTCTTTTCTCCGATCTTCTTTACCTTCTGCCGCCAGTTGTTCCACTTTCAACTGATGATACATGCCAATTATATCTATCGATATCAGTAGCACACACACCACACTGCCAGTAATGTAGTAGATGAATCCAGGTTTGAGCTTGAATTCGACGATTGCAAGTTGAGTTCTAGAATCACCGACTTTTCTATCCAGTACTTTATTCGGTGTAGATAAGTATTCGGCAGCCAGAGTTTAGTTGAAAATTAAGCACATTATTCACTAACTCTCAAAAGAAATAAATGACAGAGTTTCCTGTCTGCATCGGCCTATGATCTCTCAGAATCCAAGCTCAAACAGTTACTATCAAAAAGCTGCCATTGATTAATTTGAATTTCTGTTTGTGTCTATTCTTTTTATACGATTTACGCTGTGTCATAATTAATTTACTTGTGACTATGCTGTTATGATAAAATATTTGAAGTCAACTCAATTTGTGCAATTTTTTGCAAGGTTAATGTCTAAGTTAACCCTGAGGTATACTATGTACACAACCAGATGTGTTTAATTTAATTTTAAATAGACTGAACTATCGCGTTGTTGATATTTTTACTGAAATTCGATCGGTCTTGGTTGACATATATGTATGCTATGCGGATTGTCTGATACAATTATTATGACACAAGTTAGTGTAGAATAGAAGGAATGTCCTTAGCAATGGGATCCGAAACGTGAGTTACTATCCGGATTCAGTAGCTAAGTGGATAGCATAATAGCGTCTTAAGCGAAAGGTACTAGGTTCGAGTTCCGAAGTTAACATAAACTCTGGGATGCAGGTACATCCAGCTGACGAGTACCAAATAGGAGGAAATGCGCATCCAGGATCCCATTGCTAGCCATATTCCTTTTATTCTATACAGATATATTTAGATAAGTATTTTTTTAGTCTCCCTAGCTGTCATTGAATTATGTTATGAGGCATTTTATGCATCAATGAAACTAAGCACGAGCCTTTTCAAACAGATAAACTAAGTATCCATAATATAATACACGCACTTGCCGAAAATGGGCTTAATAGTAGTTTAATAGCTTGATGTAGGACGAGGTAGTTTCATATCAAACTAGCTATTACGAATTTATCCTATCGCAAGAAATCATGGAGTTTGTGTGTATTCCTGTCAACTGGTGACTTACTTTGTTTTAAAACTCTAGCTGGCGATATCCTGTAACAAGATATCACACGTCCATATCATTACCAAACGTCTGCTCAAATTCAACAAACACTAAAACTTTAATCTGTAGAATTAAATTTTCCTAAAGTGACTGATTAAGTTACAAATACAACAATATGCTCTTAAATGGGGTAAAATTAATTGGCTACATTCAAATATTACGGTAGTGGTTAAGAGGTATGGACTTAAATAGTGGAGTTCGACCTGGTCAGTTGTGAGATAGTAACTCACCGATGACAATGGTGGATGTGCCGCTCAATTTCATGGATTAGTTGGAGTTAGGAATTAACACTGTTGGATTCTGGCTTAGTGGTCTAGTGGTTAAGGGCACGCGTGAGACCGATAGGTCCTGGGTTCGAATCTCGCGAGGCGGGGTCATGGATGCGCACTGCTGGGGAGTCCCATAGTAGGACAAAACGGCCGTCTAGGGCTTCCAGGTTTTCCATGGTGGTCTAGCTCCAAATGACTCATGATCTCAACTATTAAAATAGTTGAGTTATTTCAAATCCTATGATGTGTAAAGTTATGTATTTTATCAAGACGATCTTAGAAAATAAATATACTGGGAAAATGAACGTGTATTCTCAAAGTAAAGTATCCATTAATAGATAAACAAGAACCAATTATACTTAATGACCACGTTAGCAAGTAGTCTAGATGTTATAATTTGTGAAATTTCGTTGTCATTAGTTTTACAAATTAAACTAGTTCTCTTATGTTATCTGTACACTGACTGGATATGCACTAAGGTCTTTTAGAATAAGCATTTTGGGTGGTTGAAACTTTTTCACTACCTAGAAATGAAAAGGATTATTTGTAAGAAAAATTAAAAAACTAAATGACAAATGTCCTAGTCTCTCATTATTGCAGATACAAGATGAAAGCATTTCTACTAAAGTATGTTCGCATACATTTTCATGCGCACATCAAAACAATTGTAGGAGGAATAACAGTAAGCTATAGCTTTAAGCAAAGTCAATTAATTAACTGCTATCTCTCTATCTACCTCATGATAGTTTGACTTTACTTCCACAAGATCAGTGATATGTAGTTACTCCGATTTAAATAAGAATAGTATTAACCCTAAGATTACAATAAGTTACAAGACGAGCAAAGCTAATGTTTAGGAATAATTTTTAGATTAATTTGTGTTCTGTGTAACAAGAAAGACTTTCTATACACTTTTTGTAAGTTTTTTTGCACACAGGGAAAGGTGCAAATGAACACACAACAGTTAAAAGATATCACAATGGTAAATAAATAAAAAAGAGAATTACTTGTTTTTTTACGAGAGCTAAAACAGATGAAGTTGAAGAAGAAGAGGATGAAGGATTATAATCGGTACGACCTAAACGAGCCAATGTAGTTAAACGGGAGTTGCCTACAGCACGTACAGGAATCGAATGATGAAAGACGGACAATTTTTCAATAGTGATTTTACCACATTGATTTTGTTCAGCATGTGAAATCCAACGTTTCAGGTAGGGCAAAAGCCGATAAGCAGATCTAACAGTGACATTTAACTTCTCAAACCTGATGAAAAAATTCATCAGAAAAAATTATTAAAACATAGATCCTCATAAAAGTACGTTTGATTTTATTTAATTCTGAATGTACTTGAAGTTCATTATTTTAAACAGTATATAACTTGAAGTAAACCAGAGATCTTTATGTAGAATGACTAATGTAACTTATGTACCATATCTAGGTTTAAGAATTTCACTTTGAATTACACTATTTATGTGACGACTAGTAATACTACCCGACTGTCTAAACAGCAGTAAATGGAGCAGAATTCGAATCTGAAACCAACTGATTGAATGCTAAGTGCTTCGACTACTAGATCATCTCTCTACATGTTGACTTACTGGATTTAATACAAGTCAATGTATTAAGACTATCAGCCAACTGACTATTTATATGGTTGAATGAATGAATGAATGAAGTTTATCCATACTCTATATATATATATATATATATATATATTTATACATAGAATTTTTTTTAACAAATTTATTTTTATGGTTGAACATTAGTTGATAAATAGTCAAAAGTATAGGGAAAAAATCCACAAACATTCAGTTAGGGGTCAATGATCATTAGGTAATAGGAAGAAATCTAACAATGCGAAATAAAAAGGTGATTAATATACAAAAAAAGTGCATTACGATAAAACTGTAATGACATTGTTAGAAAATTGTTGACAATCTTCTTCAGAGCTACAGTACTACAGTGAACATAGAAGTAGCGCACAATTTTTTTAGGACAAATAACACTGCTCTGAAAATCTGAGTTGGCAAAATTTCAGTCATACAAAAATGCTATTCTTGTTCGTTTTAAGTTGTTTAGTAGAACTTCGATTGGAATTTTGATACCGATCTTTAGAGGAATAAGTGATGCAAGTTTACGAAGAAGCCTAACAAAACGGCACAGTCTTTGCTATACACGTTGGATTACGTTCAAGAGTGTTATGATCGATGCAAATACAGTGATAAATGCAAACTAATGTGGCTGCATGTGCTAGATTGTCATTTAGAAGTTTCCAATGGTAAAATACAATTCAATGATCTATAGTGTTGAATAGATATTGACGTATTTAAATAGAGAATATCCTCAGCAGTGTCCACTAAGAAATCAAGATTTCGAATACCGAAGAAACAATGCGAGTATTTATGTTCAGCTTGTGAAAAAGATATTACAATAAATGGATGGAGAATAACATAGACATGAAGACACAATGAGATCCTAATAACTATTTTTTAAAGATAGTACAAACAAGCAAAATCAATAAAATATAGAGTAGTGAAAATAAAAAAATGATAAACTGTCAACAAGAAAATCGCTCAAAATATAAAAATTAGCAGATTAAGACAGAACGAGGTGTAAAATGACAAAATTACCAATTAATTACAATCGATAAAACTAGTGTCAGGCATAGGAGATTAGATACATTTCTATATTTCTTTATAATACATACAATGTCAACAAAAACATTCAACATCAAATCAAGAACAAAATATGAGCAAGCTGTATGGGAACAGAATAAAGAACTAGACGTTAATATTTTTTTGGAATATTTTCATTCTCAAAAAAAATCTTACCTTGATAAAAGAGTTTGACTACATAAGGCTTTATCGTTAAAATGTTTTGAAAGCTCTATACCTAGTTGAACTTGTGAAAGACCTAAATGTAGACGAAACTCTCGCAAGCGTTTAACAAAATGCTCCAGTTCAGTTAAATTATGTCCTTGAATGATAATTTCTTGACTTTCTGATGACGTCATACGATTCTTCATTTTGTTCAAGAGTTCACAAACTACAGAAAGACAAAGCATCCCATGAGGTATAAAAAAATGAGATATTTAAATGAATATTTGTCACTATGTGCATGTAGGTTGAAAAGATTATAAAAATGTTAGGATTAAGTAAATTGTTAGCCGATGCAGTTTTACGTTGGTTGAAGTTCCTTCCTAACAGTGATTTTATTGCAGTTTTTCCTTTTATAGGAATGTACAAAAATGTCATACTGGATGACTTGAGTTATCTGTCAACTTTCCCAGTAATTAATTTACAAAACAGAATTCATGGACTCTGTTGTCAAACAAGTCTAACCAATAAGTGACCACAAGCACACTTTTATGTTTATGTACAATTAGTAAACATAGTAACAGAAGTCGTGAGCATTACTGTGAACTTGACCTCCTATCAACAGGAAAGAATGATATCAACTGTACAAGTAATAATATTTTAGTAAAAATTACAATAATTCAGTCATTTTAATTACAGATCATAGATTACTCAACTAAGTGAAAAATAACACCTTTTCATAGCAAAATAAACATTATATGAAAACCTTATGTGATTAAAATTGGAGTAATTCCAAAGTTTTATCCAGCAAGCTTGTCGGTACTCGCTCAGGACATCGGTCATCTTATTTATTTAAAAAACAGTGTAAACAAAAACTCTAGGTCGTCGAAATGTATGTAAAATGAGAAAAGTTGAACAAATAGTTGTGATAATAAACTTAAAGAACAATTTCTTTGTTGGAAACAAGGTAACAGCATTATAAACAGGATGGATAGTAATAATAATAAGGTTCAGTTATTTAGTTTAGCAGTTGCCAAAGCGCAGCTGATTGTATACCGTCTTTTCTGTTTAGGACCATATAATGTTATAACCGGTCGAGTACTGAAAAAGTCAGAACTTTAGGAACTATTTTCTGCAATATTATTGTTTTAAATCACTCAATAAATAAACCTTTATATTCTACGTATTATAAGCTTCTATCTTACCCACTAATCATCATCACACGTTTTATTAATCCTAGATTATTGCTAATCACTTATTTAGTTTTTCCGGTTCACAGCCACTTTTGGCTTGATCGTGTTGAGCTATGGTCTTGTATTTTATGGTATGACTTAGTCGAACTCGTCATGTGTATAAACCAATGAATGCTTGAGATCACCGTTGGGCTAGTTCGTAGAAATATAACAACAGAGGCTCGGCTGCGAACCTCTTTTCTGGACTCAAGAGTGGAATAGATGTGTGTGTGGGCGAACCAAAAGTAGAGAAGTTCACGTTAGCTCAAGGTTAATAGTGTCGGTAAGGTCTCTGATCTATAGACAAATTAGTAGATGTGGAGTAGGAAAGTTATAATCATAATTCTGATTGGCAAATTTAGCTAGTGGAATCAAGCAACGACGATGGGCTAATCAGAACAGCTTGAAGATGTAAGATTGAATACAATTAGCTGAGCTTTGGTAGCTGCTAAATTAACAAATATCTGACATGTCTTATTAGTGGCCAGAGATTTCATTTATTCACTGAAAATGCTAACTATTAATGACATGAAAGCGCACACAAATGTAATCATTCCTTTTCACATTGTGAACATTTTTCTACTCTGACGACTTCTATAACCTTACTATATAAAAACTAACATCTAGATAGGATTGGATAAACTCTCAATGTAGACTTATTTCTAAACCAGACAAATTGTCTTATAATAATGATGATTACCCTGAAGATGTTCAGACAAGCTTGCTGTGTGAAATGTTAGAACAACTTAAATTTCAACCACTGAAATTATTTTAAATAGAATTTTTACATATAATAACTTCTATGTACTTGATTCACAATTTTTGTGAAATATTTCGGTCAAATATGTAACGATTATCCATATGAAATTATAAAGCAGTTTTAAAGACTTAAAAGGACTGAAATCTATATTCCGATGTAAAGATTTTACTATCGCTACTTGGAATTGGACATATCGCAGAATCCTTGCAACATGCAAACTTTATTCATTGAGTGGAAAATTTGGAAGTGCTTTGAGTAGTTTATACTGTGGTCACAATGTTTCATTACAGTTATGAGTTGGATTAGATTGTAAACTCATCATAAATTACCTTGTGAACAAGAAAATGAACCTAATTAATAATTACAGAAACGAGATAAACTCGTTTTCTAAAATTCAACTATTAAAATTGAATAAATGCTTCTAAGACACTGAGATCTTCATCAATATCGGTTAGTTAACAGAATTCACTAACAACTGCCAATGAATGAAACTTGAAAGTTAGGTAATTAAACAAGTCAATTGTCAAGGTACTAATCAATTGAACAAAACATGGAACTAAATAGAAAAGGCCAACCCATAACAAACAATGCTGTTAATTATGAAAGAGACAACGTTAGTTACCGATTTGTCCTAAAAATTTTGATCGTGAAATGCGAGACGAGGAATTTTTACTTTTATTCATATTAGCTGGACTGTTTTCACATTGTGGACGGGGAATGGTAGAATTAGCTGGATTTTCTAATTCTGGTACGTTCAAAGATGATGAATTAACTACTGTCTGTTGTGAACATGTTTGAACATGAGAAACATTTGTGCAATCCAAAGCTGAAGACTGTATATCTGTCTCAATACGTCCAAATTTACTAGGGAAGTTTAAATCCAATATATTTGAACAATCATTTACTGAGAATTGTGATATTACATTTTCTTGGTTTGAGAGACTTTTATCCAAAGATAGATTTGTTGGTAAATCGGATGAATCATGTGAAAATTTGATATGTGGAAGTTTTTTAAGTATGTAACTTCCATTGGAATGTTCAACGAAGAAGTTTGCCAAAATTAAATGACCTACATGGTTAAAATTGTTATATAGTAAAAAAATAGTTGACTGGAGATTCGATGGAATCGGTCAAAGAATATGTATTTATTGAAGTCATGATCCTAAAAAAAACGTTTATTTGAACGAGTTCATCATTAAAAACTAAACAGTTGTGTTAATATTAAGTAATATGAAGAACAATTTTGTTTGTTAGTACACATGTGAGTAATAAGTTGAATCCCTATAGTGTAGTCCGTATTAGATATTATATCTTCAGAGAGAAACATTGGGGTTATGAATGGGGTATATTTACACAAAAAACATATGGGTGATCAGCAGTAGAAGTCTGATTCATTTTTTAGTTCACATAAAACAGGAAAGAAAAGGAACACCAGCACACTAGAGCTAGTTTTGTAGAAAATGGCCGCTTTCTATGGTTTATAGAAAGAAATATAAAGCGATTCAGGGGTTATCACGACAATATATAAACCTTGATGGAATAGATGAAATATGTTAGTCGTATGGCTAGGTTACTACCACAAATATTCCGAACAGCTCCTTTGGGAATATCTTAAACTATATGCTTATTAGTAGATATATCCATAAAAGACAGACTATCAAAACTGAATGATTCAATGTGCATATATCTGTTTACCTGCTCTTATGAAGCTAGGTACATAAAGACAGCACCATATAGATGATCGGATCGTTGCTTCCTACCAAATTCTGAAGGAAAAAAACATACTGGTACCTTACAGTAATTACAAGAAAAATCAGTCACTGCTACTGTTCAATGAGTTATCAAGTTGTATCCACCACTGGAAGAAGAGCAACTTTTTGAGCAGTACAAATAATCCAACCAAGAAGAACTATCACACTCTTTTCAAAGAAGAAAAAGTTCAGGCCAGGAAATCGACAGAATTATTTGAAAAATATGCTACATTAAGTGTACTATCAGTGTAGAGTAAAACAACTGTTATGCTGAGCTTTAAAAAGTGTATGAGATAGTTACTGGAGTAAAATTTGGCTGCATCAAATCTTAAAAGCTGAATTGTATTTTGATCGAAGTCAAAAAATCCATTATACACACTGTATGTTTCAGATTTCATATTATTAACAAACTGGTTTTAGACCCTCAGTCTGAAACATACTTTGCATCATAAAACCATAAGATAAATAAGCCAGAATGACAAGAATCTGTGACTGAAAAGGAGTCATTAGTCTAAACACATATTGGCATTAAGATGTTGCTTCATGAGTTTCGCAAACTGTTGTTTTACTCTTCTGAGTGTCTTTGGTCCCATTTTCATAAGTTCAAGTAAAAGGGAAGTTAACTAATAGAGAGGAGATACAGTTTACTTACAAAGATGCTGGTACACAAGCTTACTCTATGATGAACACTGATGAATACGCTAATAGCAATCGTTATTTGATGAAAGGTTAAATTGAAATCACGACAGAACACTGTACTCGAAAACTTAGGATCTTAAATGGATTGACCTTTAAGAATTCTATATGCCTATACTTTTATTTGGCAACTACGATATTCAGTCAAACAATATGCATTTCAGAAACTATTGTCCTTACATAACTATGCTCGTATCAATTTGTAGAATACTCAGATCTATGAGGCATATAATATAGTAAGGGGTAAAGTAACATCAGTCTCTGCTGCATTATATTGACTAAGGTTCCACCAGCACACATCTAACTAGAACAGTCATTAAATGAAGATTAAAACAGGCTGCAAACACTTACCTATTTCAGATATATAAAAGAGAATATCATTAGTCCCAGGGAAAGAAATAACTTCTGAAGAGAGGAAAACACAATTATAGGTTGTATTTGAGCCAGTTTCTTCGAAAGAAGTGTCATTCACACTTGAAAGATCCAAAGCCATAACTTTACGAAATGCAATTTTAAAGTATACCGACGAATAGTACTTATATACCTGCAAAGCAAAATTTAAAAAAAAATATCTGGGCCTATAGTCACCGCGGATGTGTAATGTGTGGACAACCAAAAACTAGACCAAACGTAATTTAGGTGTTGTTGTATAGCATAAGACACTTAGATTCAACTATTTATCAACTCACTGTATCATTGGCTAAAAGCAACAGCGATTAAAATACTAAAAGTAATGAGACGATTGCAAGGTGCTACAAACTGATTTCGTGCCACAGGAAGAGGAATCACGAAACACTACAGCACAGACATTGACAGAACCTATAAATGGTATGCATAAATGACTCCTAGCTATGAAAGTTAAAGTTTTACACTCAGTGATTTGAAAACAAACGGGTGAGTACTAAGCAGATTATGCCGTCCTATTCTTAAATTTGGCTTTATTCCGTTGCTATAGTGTATCTACATGGGTTAATGCAGATTTGTGCCGCGTTGATTATGACTGACTTGCAAACCATTGAAAATAAAATTTCCAACCATATTTTATTTAAGTCATTTTTATCGACTGCAGCACGTACCAAATCATACCACAGGGAACCAGTGAGCAATGAGACAGGCAAGTATGCCAACTGACAAGATTACGAAGAAGATACATGCAAGGGACAAACGAAACGCATCCAACTGTTTCCATTTTTATGTAATTTCACTACTGTTACAAAGGTGCAAGAGAAAATATCTATTGAGGTTGATAATTATTTCATCTCTTATTGGACTCTGGAGAGAACCCTAAAATTGGGAGATTGTGAAGTTGATGATTTACAAACTTTTTGCCTTATGAGGGACATTTAGGCCAAATGTCTCACTATTTCCCCAACGTACGTGGGAAATGAGCTTTGGTTGCAATGCTCCCTAATTAACACTAATTATTTTGGCTACTGTTGTCTGTACAGGAAAGATTGGGAAAATACATGTATTTTCTTCCAAAGTTCACTTTTATTTCACAAATCTTATTTAGTTGTGTCAAGAAATGGCTTTTTAATAAATGACACAATTGGGAAGGAAATTTTTAATATATCACAGTTTACTTTCAAGCTAATTTGAAGTAAAGCTCCACAGGTTTTGTATGTGTTACCAATGACTAGACATTCGAAGACAAATGGGCAACCTTGAAGGTTTTGAAAACTGCTCACTGTTGTACAGGCTCAAATGACTGCTAATGAAACAGCATAAAAATACATTCAAGGTTAAGGATGACTGACGCAGACTAGTCGATTATGCCACATGGACTGGCTCATGTCGTAACACCATTACTGTGCAGTTCTTTAGTATGTTCTCGCAGATAAATGATTTTAGTTTGGCACTATCCTATTTGTTCTGGTTAGTCAGAAATCAGTTTCAGTTTGGAAAGGATAAGAGGCTAGGTGGCCTGTGTTAATCCTAACAACAGTGGTCTCTCAGTTGATTTACTTTTGTTTTTAAGGCGTTGACAGATGGAGCTTTAACCACATGTTGAGGTAATGAATTCCGCAAGTTGATGATTCGATGGGAACGTCGATAGTCAGCCAGCAAGTAATTTGTTCTGTGCCTGTGAACATCTTTACAGTGTCCTCGTAAATTCTCTGTTTTGTAAGACAATAAAAATGAGGGAATGTAAGGTGCGAATTCGTCACTAAGTAATTTGAAAACTGTTATCAACTCACCTCTAGTGTTTTGATATGACAATGGGATTAGGTTTAGCTTAACCAGTTTATCATCATTCACGGGCTTTGCCGTCCTACGAATCAGATTAGTTGGGATTCTTTAGACCCTGTCTAACCGCTCTGTCTCTTTTTACACGGGGACTGGCCTCTTGCGTGCAGCACTAGAGTTTGGGACTCACGAACACTGTAAATATCCAGAACTATCGACTCTATCGCTGTGACAGTGAAACTAAGCGGGGAAGTGGTTGTATTATATATGCTTTGGATACCCTAACAACTAATAAAGTTGAAGATAGTGTCCTGAATAGTTTACCAGATTCAGTCGGGATATCAGTCGACTCCCTTAATCATAGTCTACTCCTTGGATGTATATACAGAGCTCCTGATGGTTCGAATAATGGGAATGATCTTATTATCAATGCATTCATACATGCATCTGCTCTTAACTTTAATGCTAATGTTATCACTGGGGATGTCAATTATCCTGCGATTAACTGGAGTTCAGTTAGTTGTCAGTCATGTAATGATGAGTCCTCGGCAACCATTAACATGCACTGCTGGTCACAGTGGGTTCGTACCCCAACTAGAGGCGATAGTATACTCGATCTAATATTAAGTGGAGATGTTATTCCACTATCTGTAAAAGTACTTGATGAAGTTGAAAGCAGTGACGATAAGATAGTAGTCTGCACTCTCCCTATCTATCCGTCTTATAGCCGAACCATTCAAAAAGCCTGTCAGTATAGGGAATATAAGCATGCTGACTGGGACCTCTCCATTTCAATAAACGCGCTAAAGCAACTCAAAATGTTGATATACCATGCAACCAACATAATAGCACTTTTATATACGATTCTAAAACTATAGCAGACCTTTTCATTGGTATTTTTGCGAATGGTGTAGAAAACATAAGTGGCTATGCTTCAAGAGTTATGTGTGTGACTAGCAACTCAATAAAATATATCTCCCCCATATGCATAAAAATTAATAAGGCTATAAATACCCTTAGGCTTTCGAGAGGTCATAGAGCAGACGGCATTTCATCCTTTCTTTACAAATATGGTAGCCCAGATATTCCACTTCTTCTTCTAAAGCTGTTTATTCTCTCTATGGAAAATGGTTCTTACCCTTACGGTTGGAAAACCGCGTAGATCATATCACGTTACGAATTTTGAGATAAGACTGACATTAACAATTATTGGCAGATAAATATTACTCCAGTTATCTCTAGGATTATGGAAAACATTATAAGTGATGAGCTTTCCAACTACTTACTCGCTGGAAAATTCGTCAGTGATACTCAACATGGATTTCTTAAAAATCGATCTTGCATGACATGCCATTTTGACTTCTTTAATTTAGTCTATTCTCTACGTAACCAAGGATATCTAGTCTTAGTGCTATATCTGGACATTTCTAAAGCCTTTGACGTGATTATCCACCAACTTCTTATAGGTAAACTCGCATCTTACGAGGTTCAAATCATTTGCTGGCTTGGTTTGAGTCCTTTCTCAGCAATCTACATCAAATAGTTAAAATTAACTCTTCATTGTCTAACGCTGTCCCTGTTAGAAGTGGTGTAATACAAGGTAGTGTCTGAGGTCCTTTGCTCTTTTTAGTGTTTATCAATGATATTTGTGAAAGCTTTTGTGTCGGTTAGCCGCTTCTATATGCAAATGATCTCAAAGCAGTATATTCATTTTCTCCACATGAGCTGAACAGTATGCGAAATTGCGTCAGCATGGAGCTTAACAAGATAGTACATTGGTGCTTAAAATGCCAACTGGAGCTTAATACGGCTAAATGTGGATGGATATGTTTCGGCAATACATCACTCAACCTAGACATTACCATAAATGGAGAAGTGTTATCTAGGTTACATACAGTGGTAGACTTAGGACTTAGATATTCCCAAGACTTGTCGTTTAGAGAACATATATTAAAACAGACCTCTAAGTCTCAATGTCTAATAGGTTACATAACTCGAAACCTTTATAACAATGAACCACGTATTCTAATGCATAAAGTTTGTGCTCGACCTCTTCCAGAATATTGCCCGTTTATTCTTAGCAGTGCGCACATAAAGGATAAATTAAGGCTGGAATCAGTACAGAGACGATTTACACTTCGTATTCTTGGAGCTGATTGTACCTTAACTTTTAATTCTAGATGTAATAAACTTGGGCTAAACGCTTTATGGAAGAGCAGACTCAAACCAAATCTTATCTTTTTCTTCAAACTACTTAATAAAATATCCTTTACATCCAACCACGTGATTCAATATGCATAAGCTTCTTATTATGACATCCATAATTCCTTGTCACTAGTGAAACAAAATTATCCTAAATCATGTCTTTATACGGATTACTTTACTTGTAAATTTTCTAGACTCTGAAATAACTTACCACAATCTATCCGTACGATAAAATCACTCCCATTATTTGTTCGCTGCATCGATGCATACTGCTCCTCTGATAACGCACTGAATGTTTTAGCACCTGTAACTGTATCTCATTCCATAAGTGATATTATAGGAACTTTAAATGTTTAGCCATCTTTATTAGTGCATACCCTAAGTAAAACCACCTACTTGCTGTCACTTTATGTTAACACCGTCCCCAGCAAGTCTAACTAATTTGAATAACATCAACAGTATATCACTGTGTCACATGACACACGCATTTTGGTAGACCTGATTGATATATTTTGGTAATTACTTCTTTGTTGTCCCGTGCTCTCTGTTTTCGTTTTAATTTCTCTAGTTGTAGATAATTATCAGTAATTCGATATGGCACACAAAATGACTTTAATTACACCGTTCATCAATCAACAGGCTGTCCATTTAAGAAAAATTAAACGTTCCCGGCTGACGCATTGGATCGCTGCAATACATGTACTTTTAGCGTCCCGTGGATCTGACCCCTATTTAGATCGTATAAATGATTGTTATCGCCTTTTCTCGTATATCATAGTCGACTTAAATCACGTTAGTCAATAACGGAATTTAGATAAGTCAAATAACGAGAATGGGATTAGAAGGGCACACACATATACGCTCATATAAAAACAGTCTAGATTGATAAGCAAATAATTGACAAGGTCAAAATATGACTCAAGTAGAATGAATAGAATGGTTTGTCCAAAAACTAGAATAAGACATATGGGCTTAAAATAATGACTGACACTACATACTACCTAGACAATTACTGAACTAGTATACTTAAAACTTTCTTCTATCATATGTTTGTTATGTTCATTTAATGCTGCTATTTACATCAAATTGATCATGCCTGTA